ATAGCCTTTGGCACCCAAGGAAATATGTATCAACAAATTTGTAAAAAAAAAAATACTTTGATTTGAACTGGGAGGAAGCTCACCCTATATATCGATTTATTGGTGGAGATTACAGGTTATTTGTTTGATGTTCGCCATAAGTAAAGGTCCAAAGTTTTGCGACGAAGGACATTATTGCCTTGATGGTCAAGGAGAGAATATATTTATGTCAAAAATAAATGGTTGTTATTAAGCAGTTGCGCTGGGAAAGCAAGGATTTTACGATCTAAAAAACCGCGAGGCGATTTCCACCACAACCGCAGGATTTATAACATTCACGTTTCTTTTATGCGGCTTATTAAATTTTTGTTTGTCAATACCTAAAACGCTTAATTATTTTTCCTAGCACGCTATGTGAAACTATACCATTGAAATTGTGACCTTCTATTTTTTCTTTTACACATATTATGGTTGATATCCTTAGGAATTATGTTCATGTCTTGACACATTTAAATGTTACTCAAATAGAAGGTTAGTTACTAATTACACGCACCTTTAGATTTGCTGATGCCGTGCTTACTTTCAAAAACAGAAAAAGTATTTGTCCATAAAATACTGGTCGAAACAGCTTAAATTCAATTCAGAATTTCTGTACTTACATTTTATTATATACCTAATGATCCGATACGCGAATGGAAAAAACATAAACCTAAATCAATTTTGGGATTGTTTTCTGCCCAATAATTTCCTACCGATTTATTTGCGACTGAAAACGCTTTGGAAAATGTAATTTTCGACCTTTACTATTTACTCGTATCTGTACCCGCTAATTTCCTTTTAATTTGTTTATCATTGACTTTGACATTGAAATTTTATAATTTATTTTGTACCTATTTATTTTGAACGTAAAAAATACATCTAAAGGTCATTTGAATTTTCTACTTGTTTGATTGCGTTTTATTACTTATACGTTATACGGATTGTTTAATGCTGAATTTTTTTACACTTTTTGCGCATTTTTATAAAAGTAAAGAAAATTGCGTTATAGATGTGATCATGATGATTAATTACTCTTCCGTCCGTCCCCGTGTAGGTCTGTATCAAAATTAACGTAATTTAACTATCTTATTCGACATTCTCGGGGGCGAGGAGGGGTCATTACATTAAATATTCATTAAAAGAATCACCGAAAAGGCATAGTAAAATTGCTAGAAGAATGCTCCCACTTGACTGAATTTTCACGATTATAAAAATGTCGGACATTTTATTTCAGGTGCGAACCTTTTAAACGTCCCTTTTTTGCCAAAAATATACATTTTTAAAAGTTTAAACACATCACACACATTATCGCTTTGGGATTGGGAAGTATAGGAGACAGTGACCAAAATAAGTCATATGGAAGCTACGCCCCAAAGGTTGCATTTTTTCTTTTTAATTTTGTCTTTTTTGTTTTTCTTATGCTACCTTAGTAGTCGTGCGTTGCCATGTTTTTAACGCAAGAATGGTGTATTTCGTCATGACGTTGCTGAGTTTCGTATAGTGATGTGGGTGGGATGAGATCTCGGCAATGGAATGACGTAGAAAGTTCGTTGATACGTCATTTGATAGATATATTTTTTTTTCTAATTACTTTAGGCAAAATTATCGCCAATTTCATATAGGGGAAACGGCAAAACACATTGCTTTGATGCACATGAACTAAATTTTGTTCGCTTCCTGTCATATTCTCACTTTGGTTAAGTTAGTAGAGCAAACTGTTGTTTATTCAATAATTTCGTCGCGGAAACTACACAATGCATTGATTTGATAATAATACTTTACTTATGCGTTTTTTCTGTCTATTTTGAAGCAATTTCGTTTGAAAGTATGAAAAATGCGCTTCGTTCGCACATTTGCGTAGACTTTTGTTCTTGAAGCTTAGGTTCTTTTTTTGCTAAAAGACACTTTTAAACATTTTCAAATTGAAATTACATATTTCAATTCGTTATTTGTTCTGTTAAAAGAAATTAGCGTTGGAAACAGTTTTTTGCGATGTCGCTTTGGAATAATAGTACCGAATATGAGTTTGTCTTGATTTATGGTTGCTATTATTATGTAAGTACATACATCCATCATGCTCTACTTCAAAAGTAGCCGCCTAACGTTTAATTCCTATATAATTTTTGTACTAATTAAAACACAAACGCATCTTGCATAACGCTCTTAATATTTTATTCATCGGGACCCATGGTGGTGTATATAAATGCAAGATATTAAGATTATTTTGTGAACGGTATATTTAATGAAGGAGACTAATAAATTGCATATTAGCATACACTATGAGATTTACAGTACAATTCACCGATGCAATTCATCTGGACATTAGAATCTACCTTACTTTACCTCATGAAAAATAAATTAATACCGAAATTGGATTTTCATTATGATTGATTGATTTGTGTCGTACTGAAACCATTCAAATGTTGGTGTAATGACATGTTTCAATGTAAATAGTATTAATTTATACTTTTATTCATTAGGTTAATTAATCAATTGTTGCGCCATTAAAGTAGTACGTCAGTACGTGATTGTAATTAGTTTTCTGTTACTTTAAAACTGTAAGGTGTTGTTCTAAAATTCTCATTTACGCACCACTAATCTCGTAAGGAACTTTCACGGAATTACGAAGACTATGTCAAATTTTTCTTTCGATTGCCAATGAAATTATATCGACAACTGAACCGTAGCATTGTAACTATTTACGTTCGATTTCCTTCGAAAATGTTAAAACTAGCTCGAAAAATTCTATGTCCTGCACTGCACTCGTAATTTTTAGCGGAATTTGTATTTCCCGAGGTATTTCATATTTAGAACTCGGAACATTATACACAAAATATGTCCCTTTTGATATTTAGAAATTAAAAATTCGTATTGCTGTTTTCCAATTGTTTTTGTGTATTGTGTAATTTGTAATTGTGTAAAATTTTTGGTATTTTGAAGACCTTGTTTTTCCGTATATAACGTACAAAAATTGTTCCAAGTTTTACTACAAGAAACAATGCAAAGTTAAAAAAAGTAAAATATACGCACAAAGTTCTTGGAAAATGGTAAAAATGCCCGATATGTATTCTCATTATGATTAACGCGTTGTGCGCGGGTGCACCATACTGTTAAAACCAACATGTTTACAACGTTTGTTTCTGTTCAAATAACACCAGAAAAAAATAAAAACCAAATTTCGGTTTTCCTTGCATATCTTCGGAAGTAATTGAAATTTTCTGGTTTCTTTTACAGCATAATAGTAACTTTTCCCTAATTTTACCATCTTCGTATCTTCTATGGTTTTCGAGATCGCCATGATAGACACCAGTCATAACTGTAGGTCGTTTTTATTTCAGGTTAATTAACGCTGATGTCGGTTTCAAAATCTTGTAAACGTTTACATATTGGATTCGGTCGAAATTAGTCAAAAAATTCGAGGAATCAGTTCAGAGACAGTTTTTGTACACAATGCAAGTTACGAAAAATATCAAGAGATAATTGCTACTGTCCGTCCATCCGTCCGTTACCACGATATCTCGATAACGAATGGACCGATTACGATGAAATTTTGTACGTGGATTCTTTATCAAATTTGTAGATCGGAGATCGTGAATATAAAACGCAATTCCAGAAGTTGAGCCTAATCGATCAACATTCACAGTGCCCTTTTCGCATCTTGACCATTTATAAACCGAATTGGCAACCTTTCTTATTTATGAAAGCATTTAAATTTGATACATAGCCACTTGGAATAAAAGCAAATGAAGCGCCAGTTTCCAAATTTGGTTTTGTTCCTGATGTGCAGTACCAATTTTCTTATTTATAAAATGGACCGTTTGCCGCCTCAGGTCATATGACTTAAGGCGTGTCGGTACTTCTTGCGATATCAATTCTAAATGGTTCTTTTTTGAGAAAATAATTTACACACCAAATGAAAACGTTGATAATGGCTCTTAAAAAAATATTTAAAAAAATCTCGAACCTTTGATAACTCTTTAAAAAATAATTCTTAGTCGGTTTTTCAAGAACTTTCTACGGATATAACTAGGTAATGGTTGAACCAATGAAGCTGATTTTTGTGCAGACTAATGGTAGGTACCGCCAATGACTAGGACAGTGTTTCTTTTTTAAATTTTGTCTTTAATTATAAGATGATACATTTTTTCAAAAAATGTTCAAGCAATTAAGGAACTGTTCGATTTAGCTGATGGTTTCTTGTATCAAATTTTCCTAGATAAAAAAAATTCATAAAAAACCAAGAGATTCCAATTTTTTTTTATTTTGACTTCTATTTTTCCATTTGCGTACTGAGTACATAGGCAGCGTCCATAATATGAGTGTAAAGTTTAACAATACATATTAAAATAAGCGTGGGTCAACTTCCAGTATAACCGAAACTTGTGCAAAATTGAAAATAATTACGATCATCCAAAGTTCTCCCCATTTAGTCCATTCGTGGCAAATCATTTCTACATCTATTAATTTCGAATTCAGAAACATCTTCACAAATGCATTACATGTTTCCAAATGGCCCTTACCAAAATAATGTGACTTTATCCATCATATGGTTTATTCTTGTTTTCTCATACATTTGGTACAAGGTGAACGATTCGCGTCTAGTTCTCATAGTTTACCTATCATTGTCGATTTCTATCAGATACAGTGGGAAGTGACCTATATTACCTACATCTACAGTAAGATGTAAATCCTAATTTCAAATTCCACAAGGCAAACTTAAAAATTTGTTTCGGATTTGCGATAAGTCCCTGAATAAAGGTCATTTTCTTTTATTTCGCAAATTTAATTATGTGTACAATACACATTTTCATTATGTCATAATTTAATTGTTATACAAACATGAGTAATTGTGTAAATTTTTAAAGTTCTTTCAACTTCTATGTCCTTGACTTAAATCACAAGTAATCTTTTATAGTGCAATACAGTCAAAATCTTTTAAACATTATCAGTCGAATTGTATTTGAATTTTTTTTTTGTTACAGTTACAACTCCTGCACCTCCCCAAAGGCCATGGATTCCTCTTACAAAACCTACAAGGAATCGTCCTACCTGTAAGTACTTGTTATTGTCTTATTGAAATTGGTGCACCTGTATTTATTTGAACAACTTCCCGAAGTTGTATGAATGAATACTCCACCCATTAACATTTACCTTCGCACTCCATGTGGGCGTTGTGGATTCTTGCATTACTTTCGAAATTCTTACATAATTTATTTGTAGGTATTTTTACTGTGATGTGCTACAACGTACTATGCGATAAATATGCTACTAGACAAATGTATAGTTATTGTCCAAGTTGGGCATTAAATTGGGACTATAGGAAAAAAGGAATCTTGGATGAAATTAGACATTACAGCGCAGATATTATTAATTTACAGGAAGTTGAAATGGACCAGTTTTATTCTTTCTTTCTACCAGAATTAAAACAGGATGGTTACGATGGCATATTTTCTCCAAAATCAAGAGCAAAAACAATGGCAGAAAATGAAAGGAAATATGTCGATGGGTGTGCAATTCTATATAGAACATCAAAGTAAGAAATTGAACGAGGAAATACATAACGTCTAATTTTTCTTGTAGATTTACGTTAGTAAAAGAACACTTAGTGGAATTTAATCAACTTGCAATGGCCAATGCTGACGGTTTAGATCACATGTTAAATCGGGTTATGCCAAAGGACAACATTGGTTTAGCCGCTCTTTTACAAACAACGGAACCGGCTTGGGACAATGGTAGTTGACTAAATTTCAGTTTAAAAATGTCACATTTGTTTCTTTAACAGTTCCCGCTGATTCTATGTTAGTTCAACAACCACTCCTAGTCTGTACAGCACACATTCATTGGGATCCTGAATTTTGTGATGTGAAATTAATTCAGACAATGATGTTAAGTCAGGAATTGAGGGCAATATTAGACGAAGCAGCTCAAACTTTGAAAGCTGCTGAAAATATGAATATCGATGCGAGTAATATTCAATTAGTATTATGCGGTGATTTTAATTCGCTTCCTGACTCCGGAGTAATTGAATTTCTTAGTTCTGGAAAGGTTTCATTAGATCATAAAGATTTTAAAGATCTCAGTTACAAACAATGCTTGGAAAAGATCTCGAGCTGTGATAAATCCAATGAATTTGCACATTCCTTTAAACTAGCATCTGCTTACAGCGAGGAGACGATGCCATTTACAAATTACACGTAAGTCATTCGATGCACAATGCTCTATATTAACAACTTATGTCGTAGGTTTGACTTTAAAGGAATTATTGACTACATTTTTTACTCAAAAAACACAATGACACCTTTGGGGCTCTTAGGACCTTTATCAGGAGATTGGTTACGAGATAACAAAATCGTTGGCTGTCCACACCCTCATGTCTTCTCAGATCATTTTCCCCTTCTTGCAGAACTGGAAATGATTCCAACAGTATCGCCACCTGTGAACGGTATTATTGGTCATAGGTAAGTTGAAATTAGAAAAAAGTTTGAATTCCACCTGCAACCTTTTACTTTGCATTAAGTATGTGAATATTAAGTAGACACTATGATTGAAGTCTTTTCTCTAGTGTATCATTTACTAAGATACTAAGATTGCCTGCAGTTGTAGATAATATGGTGTTGATACTCTCTGAAGGCAAATAATGAAATCTGCGTGCGCGAAATAAAAATATTTTGTCGTCACTCGTAATTATTGTCCTAATTTCTTAAATAAGAGCTTAGAACAGATATACTGCCCTGTTAAGAAAGACCCCCGCATCTCCATTAAAGCAACTTTTGAGAAAACCGCGTTCAAAGGTTTTTGCGTGTTTCGTTGGGCTTCTGCTTGACTTACATTATAAGATGCTTCATGATATTATTTGTAATGTTACAACAAACTTTTTTGGGAAAAGAAAATGCAAAAGTAGGTAATGGCGACTAGTTATGCGACATACGGGCTGAGAAAGCAATGAATTACACTACAATTACTTAGCTAAAACCACGTATAACACAAATTTGGTTTAAACTTGGTTTTGACTACGTATAATTATTGTAAAATTTATAGCTTGCGGCGAATTATTAATTTTTTAGTAGTGTCGTTTTTGAGCACACCTAAAACATAATTTAAATATATATACAAAAAACTTTATTTGAAATAGATGAAATATGAAAAAAAAACATTAGAGGGTAATTTTGACAGGAAATAACACTGTTTATTGCTCGTCGGAGGTAGGTAATTCTTGCCAAAAATTATATATATTATATAATAAAATACCTAGGTACACAAAAACTTTCTGTGAATTACTCAACAATGCCAATGAATTACAGACAAATTAAAAATTAGCAAACTTAAAATGTAGGTATTATAAAATATAAACTTACCAAAGCAAAATTCTGGCCACAAACTGTCACTAAATTTATAACACACAATTTTTAAATAATAACATGAAAAATGAGGATCAATTAACTATGCCGACAGGTCGAAACAAAGCGATTAAATGATTGTTTGCGCGGCAAATTACTTAGTGAAAACATGACACCGGCGGTGTTAATAACGCGGTCTTATCGTATTCCTTAGAAAAAACCTAGTATGTTCAGTTTCCTATGTTAAAAGCCCGCATCTACTAACAACATACCAGGTTATTGCTAAATATTGTAAGATACCCGGTTTTTGCTAAGTATAAAGGCTATTTTTGGCGTTTACGGGGAAACTATTTTCAATCACAAAATGTTTAAAAATCTAAAATGCGGGGTTTTCTCTGTGTAAACATGTTGTATAAATCACGTTTATGCGATTGGTGCAAGTATCTCAGTTTTCAAAATTTTTGGAGATACGGGGGTCTTTCTTAGTAGGGCAGTATATTGTTGTGTTATCCAAGGTAAGAGACCAACCGATTATTTAGTTTTGGGATGATTTACTAGGGAAAAATTACTAGAATTAAATTTCATAGTTCTATACTTAAATGTTGGTATACTGCCTATCATTATTTATAATAAGTTGTATTAGTGTAGGGCAGTCCTCATCCATCAAATACAAAAAAAACTTGTTGCTGATGTGCTAATGCACTAGAAAGTTATAAGGGTACAAGATGAAACATGAAAAGTAAGGTCTTGAAAATTGGTTAAGAACAATTTAAACAACTAATAAACAATAATCAATCAGTGTTTTGGTCATCCTGTAGGTGTTACTGACAATATGATGGAAACAATTAGGTTAAGATCAAATTATCATTTCTAATAAATGAATGTAATTATTTAATTGAAATTGCATGGATGGAGTACAGTAGACTCTCAGTCATCCGGCAGATTTATAGATAACTGCATGATTAGTGAAAATGTCTGATTACTGGAGGAAGTTCATAAATAAAAACACTTAAAATACACAAACAGGTGTTGTACCAAAACAACTAATAAATGGTATTATAGGTATTATTATTATATATTAAAAATAAAAAATGATCTCTAAGAAATAATATTTTTATAGAGCAGTACCAAATTAAAAAATGAAAAATAAAGATAGTTTCAATAATGTACGCCGGTTTAGTGGAGTGCCGGACTGGCCCAGTGCGGGATTATAGAGAGTCTACTGTACTTATCAAAGTTACTATAATCACATGCCATAGATTCCAATTTTATTTACCATTTAAAAATCTTTGTCGCTCATGAGGCAGTCTTAAGAATACATCGTACTGCTTGGAATCAATAATAATTTATGTAATACCTTCCGCTGTAAGATTAATCATGCATTGCAGTATACATTATTTTTTTCAATCTTTGAAGGCGCCTGGCAAAGTGTTATCCCCGCTCTTCCTCAGTCAGGTCTGCAATTCTGTGTTTAGCTATTCTTGGAGAAATATTGAAGTTTTCAGCGTGCCACAAATACCTACCCAAAAGTGTCTACCAGCTCTCGGACTATAATTGATTTTATCACTTGTTGTCATTGTCGAAAACACCTAACGCTAAATAGAACTAATGTTTATCAACAAACCATTGCGCTGTCGAAACCAACCTTTGGTTTCATTTTATTCGTAAAAAATTATCAAAGAAATTGATAAAGATACTGGGCAGTAGAAGAAAAGAATTTGCAAAATGAAAAGAAAAAAGTAAATATAGTGAAAAAGAAAGCAAACAGTATCGGCATGAAGCGAAATGGCACAAAATGGGGAGGGAAAAGGAGGAAAGGCATGAAAAGAAATTCAGCTTTGTCCATTGCTTCCATACACTCCACAGCCAGTGCCCTCCGACAGTGTATATTTCTCATTTGCAAATAATTCATGATATAACCATTGAAGATTATTATTTCATAGAAACTTATTCAAGTATTGTAAAGGTGGATGTTAGGTCTACTGGTAGGATACTAGATTACGGACCATTTTTATTGTTGTATCACCTGCAGGGTCGGCTCGTCTCCATAAAATGAATATCTGAGATTTTATCATTGGGAGAGTGGTGCTTGTCACCCCAGAATTCATTTCAGATTACGCTTGGACTGAACTTAAGTGGTTCTAACACTATTGGTCATATAATGTATATGTTTATAAAAACGCGTTATTGTTAAAAGTATTTTCTACTAAATTTTCTTAAAAACATTTTTTTCTGAAATAGGTACCTAGTTTATGAAAATCTCTGCACACTTTACTGGCGAATTGGATATGAAAATAATGTGTATTGTGCGGCCAGCTATAACTTTGTTTAGGGTTGAAGCGTACCACTACGATCACTATTGTAAACAGTACCCACCTTATAATTTATAATAAATTTTACATTTGATTTTTGATTTCAGTTAATAACCTCACTTTATTCTTTTTTAGGTAGCAACAGATGTAGCCTAGTAGTTAGCCATTGTCGCCTTGCTGTCTCAGTACCTGGCTGCATCATATAGACAGTGCTCTCATTCAATTAATAACATTCAGAAATTCACTCATTAATTTGGCTCACTTGGTACCTGACGTGATCTATTTATGGTCTCCTGAAGCCTTCGAAATCGTTTTCTATTGTTCCTCACAAATTTGTATAGGGTGGAATAAAATTATATACGCACAGAATGTTACATAAGTCTCAATCTGTAAAAAGATTTTTACCTCTTCATGCTGGACTTGTTTTTAATATGAGTTGTAGTCAATTTTAATTAATACTTGAGCAAAAATGTAGAGATAGTATATTAACTAATTGTCTTTAAACGCTTTTGTTTAATGTAAAAATTCATATGTTGTATGTATGTACTTGAAAAGTATGTACATAATTTTATTTTTTTAATTATTACAGAAATACCTGTTATGTTAGAGACTATTTTACAACATTGCTATATTCGCCCTACTTGTTAAGAAATTTATTCATAACTTCAAAGATAGTGCTGTAATTTTTAAGTGATATTTTGTGATTTAAGGGCAGAAGAGCATAAATACGAATTAATAATTTCTTTATTTATGTTTAATAAAATAAATTGTGAAAAATTGTTCAATTACAGCTTTATACACATCTTAGTCATATAACTATTTACTTTTAAGCTTATTTGTTAAGTTGATGGTACGATATTTGCTCGTTTTCCAGGTGTGATAACTTATCATAAATGCAATAGCATTGAATATATCATCTCATGCAAAAACTACACATGTAATTCACATATTTGATCAGTAGCCATATTTAACGTAAGGTTATTTTTATATGGGGCAAGTACAGTATTAGGTTTGCATAAGACTAGAACAAATCACAAAGGGCATCGATGTGGATTACAGTAGAATATTTTGTGACACGTAACGTGTAAGTCCTCTGGAAATACTATGTGTGATCATAAGTGACTTTTTTGTAGAACACATGTATTTTAATACGTTTCTTTTTTAATTATAAGTTAATTTTACAATATTTGACTGACTGATGTGTAAAGAAACGTGTAAAAAATCATTGATGCCAATTATTTCTGTAGCCAAGGCCCTTAATATTAAGACCATTATTACTACATTTAGATGAAAAATACTCGCTAATTATCGTATGGTTTTGTTAGGGCGTTTTGTACATATTCTTTATAGAAATTGTTAATTCTACAGGCACGTTCACACCTGATATGTCATTTCATCATTAATAAGTGCGTACGATTTAAACTCCCTTCAAGTTGTTCAAAATTTTACACAATAATTAGATTTACTGTTAATGAAGTGTTGTTTGAAGTTTCTATTTTTGCAGTGAATAAAAAAATTTATTTGCCAATTTAGTCGAAGAATTGAATGCAGTTATTTAATAATATGAATTCGCAAAAACTTTACATGTATAAAAAAAACGACTGAATTCTAAGTGATAGTTCTGCTAAATGGCAATAATTCTAATATACAATTTTATGTAAAATTCGTAAAACTAAATATACACGATTTCTTTGTTAAACATTTATTACACATACTTTGTAAAATGGCACTTAGGGATTTTTCACTTCTAACAAATCTTTGCAGTATGATTAAATAAAAATTCTCTTTACAAGGAAATGTATACTAACGCCGATTTATGGGTTAATTCATGTTTGCCAAACAGTTTGGCCACACAATCCTATTTCCGGTTAATTTTTCAAAGGAATAATTATTGAATATTCTAAATTGAGCAGGTGTGGTAAAGGGCAAGATCCGTTCAATATAAAATGATTGATGTGCTTCAGGTTATAATACTAAAATTCTTTTGATAAGCGGTAATGAAATTTGGTACAAGAAAGTTCTTTGTCCATAATGTAATGTATGACTAGGATGTAAACACAAATTTATTTAACGTGGCCTAGGGGTGCTTTATTAATAATGAAATAACTAGAATTATGTAATGCGAGTAACGATGAAATCTTTAATTGAAATCAAAATTACAACGAGTAAGTCGGTTATTACATAAAAATTCATTATACGTTAGGTACTTAATTTGTAAATTTTTAAATGATGTGTAATGATGATAATCAGATCTCAGATTTTTAAATTATTTTATTATTAGTTCTGTAGTAGTACTTGTTATGGTAATGGACAATGGTTTACAATAAGTTGAAGATGTAGATGTTCACATTTTAAAAAATATTTATGTACCATAGATGAAAAATACACTGGACCATTTATTTAATGACTTTAAATTTCTTCCTTGTAAAAGTTATCTAAATAAACAATTTTTAATATTAAAATTCTTAAAAATTTTATTTTGTGTAGTACTAGTTTTGATATCCAATGCATTTGTGAACTAGGATAAATTCATAAGTGCCAGAAATTAAAAGAAGAGCCATTGTTAAATCACTAACAAAAAGTAGATTAAATTATATAATTCAGTGACTGACACAAAAGAAATTGGACCCTCTTTTAATAGCAGCAATTTTCTAAAACTACATTTTTTTTCAGCACCATCTGCTTTCATCAAAGAAACTATTGATCTCTTCCTGTACCAACGATTCACTCTACTACTCTGTTTTTGTAAACCGTGATGTTAATCCTGGAAAAAATTATGGTCCCTCACTCAAGAAATTAACGAGGAAATTTATATTATACAAAATTGGGGAAATGTTAACTGCGTTACTTTATTAAAATGTCTACAAATTTTACAGAAGTATCCAACTTCGCTAAAATCGTACACAAGGTACAGAAGAATTACAGGAAGAACTTTGACATACATAGTGCGAACATACAATAAGTGTCAAGCAAATTTCGTAAAGGTTGGTTAAACTTGTACGAGTAACATCTGGCTAAGGGGTTGAGGAAATTCTTGGAAAATGTAACGAAACTTTAAGAAAATATGGCAAATTCTGAGGCAATATCAGGAAATGCAAAAGAAATTCATAAACGAAACCACAGACAACATATACTATGTGTTGTCTGTGACGAAACTTGGTACAATGCGGGAAACTTTGGTAGTAAGTAACAATTTTTCGAAAATCTTTGTTCCATAAAATGCTTAAACTCAAATCAAAAACTTTTCACCGGCATCAAAAAATTTGATTTTGGATTTTAGAATTAGTTTTTAACTGTACTTAAGTTGTCTACAATCTTTGGCAACTTTTTTCATGAGGAGACTGCAAAATTTTTGGACATTTCTCCGAAGGCACAAGTATAAATCATTTAGTATTTGTATTGGCCATAAAGGAATACTACACCGACAAATTTAAGCGGAGCTGAGCTTAAGCGTAGCTTAAAATCCATGGCAACGATTATTGAGACAATGGTTGCCATGGATTGTAAGCAACGCTTAAGCTAAGCTCCGCTTAAATTTGTTGGTGCAAACGGTTATAAAACCTGTTGATATAAGCCACAGGTGGCGGATTTTGCGCAAACCACAACAAAAAATATACCTACAGAATTTTCAGAAACTTATAATGGTTTCTATGGCTTCTGCAATAATTTTGTATTATATCCAGGGCCGCCGATACCGGGGATAAGGGGTAAATGCCCCGGGCCCATGGTATGTTGTGAATCCGCCTAAAGCCTAGTTTGAAGTCTAATTTTAAAATTGTAGGTAACAACAATTTTTTTACGAATTATCCCTAAATGCTGAAAAAAAATTTTCAAGTTATACCAACTTTTGCGAATAAAAAGGCTCAAAGAGCATTCTTTTGTTTTTTATTATCACGGTCTACACCGGTTTATAAAATGTAATTAATTAATGTGTAACTATTTTTGTGAAAATATTGAATAACCTCAAAACTACGGGGTTTATCCCGAGCGGTGGCAATGGTTTATCTCCAATAGATATGTCTCGTCCCGATGTTCTTCACTTGCAGTATGCAGAGAAAGGGGGCGGAGTTCTCTAGTAAAATAAAGTAACCTATTCTTGATTGGTTTTCCGAGAGAACTCTGCCCTCTTTCTCTCCCTAATCCTGTTCCTATGAACTCAAGAAATAGAGGGCTCCTGGGGATACAAATTGTGACCCATGAACACTGCATAGTGTGTAACAATTAGAATGTATGAGAAAACACCAAATGTATGAAATCTGAAGAATTTGTCACTAAGGTCAGTGCTGCCAAGCGGAATTTTTAAATTTGACAATTGGTGCGTGCTGCCAACCTTTACTTTTGAAATAATATTGCAACCAAAAACTAGAACTAGGGAAGTACGAATTAAAAGTAATAACTACGTCAGCAAACAATGTGTGGTGAATACTATCCGGCTTTTTTTGCGTTCTTAATTATTAATTAAAGAAAATTGTTTAATACATTGCAATTATGTTGACAGCCAATGAACCGTTAAGTATTGATGAGTATGCTTTTAAAAGCTCTCCAGAATCGTCTGGGGATGACTCCTTTATGAGCGGTAAGGGACTATTCCCATGGGAGTGGTGATAATATTTAAAAAACTTTTAGAGGAAGATTTTTTACAACAACTGTCATCGGAACTGGATATTCCGTTGCTACTAAATGCCGGTCACGATGAAATGAGTTTGTTAAATACATTTCTAGATAAAAGTACAGACGAAATTTTGTCAGAGATAAGCTCTACAGCTCTAGAATTTAAATGGCAAGATGTGAAGAAGGAATTAAACGATCTCGAGCAGCTTGACTTATCGAATTATGGACCAGAGGCATTTCCCAATGCTAAGGCTGAAGTAAAGGTAGAGCCTTCTCTTCAGTGTATTAATGAAAACTCCTTCGAAGTTATTTCAACCGGTTCTTCCCCAAATAAAATCTATACTAAAGTTAGTACCCCATCAGAAAATGTGATTTATTCGAAACCGTATTTATATAGTAACGCCCAACTTGCGACAACGCATCAGTCGCAACCCACGAGTCTGTCCAACATAAACGTAAAAGTTACCAAATTATCACCTAAACGATTTACAGTCAGCTCTACAGCCCCGTACATTATTCCATCAAATAAAACCAAGCAAAAAATTTTGTTGGTTCCCTCTGTCTCGACCACACCTGCAACAAATGCGTCAAATTCACAAAATATTGTTATATTAGATAATGTAGTGACTTCAGTTCCTTTAGACAGTAGTAACGTTACCAATACTAATCCAGTGACAATTAACAACATTAATACCGTTACCGTACCCTCGCTATCACCTCTCAGACAAAATATTGATGAGACTTCACTTACTATATCACCTGTAAGGAATCAGACAATCGACGCCAGAGCTTTAAAAAGACAGCAGAGGATGATTAAAAACCGGGAATCTGCGTGCTTATCGAGAAAGAAGAAGAAAGATTACATGACATCTTTAGAGTTTCAAGTGCAATCATTAACTGAAGAAAACCAAAGGTTACTTAAGGTAAGCAGAGATAGATATTTAGGATGGGTATACTCTTGCTGTATGTATTATCTAAGATATCGTGAAGTGTCTTATAATTTCCAAAAATTCCTTGAAATAATACATAATCTGAGAATTTCCCATGAATCCTGAAAATGTCCAGTCATTTTAAATCCTTTCTTGATGCTTTAAAGTTTCCAGAATTTCAAAATCTAGAAAATGTGATTTTAACTTAAAAAAGTTTGTTCAGTTCTGCATTTTTCAACAAAATTATAAATAAACTTTCACTCGTAGAGCTAAATATACGTTCGGTACCTATAATCAAATATACAGTACGAGATACAGTAGAACCCAGATTATCCGTACCGTGATTTTCCTTAATTGAAATTACATTTTTGAACTTTAATGAAAACAGTGTACCGTAAATCACTCAGCGGAAAATCCTATATGCCTGGATGGAGACCGCCGCATGGCATGCCGAATGGGACAGATTTAATTGCGTGCTAGAGACGAGTTGTTATGCTACACGTGTGCATGTTTCTTTTGAAAGTGGCAAAATGGAAATATTTGTATTATCCGTGCTTCGTCCGGTCCCATGGAGCATGGATAATCGGAACTCTACTGTAATTACTTAAAAAATATTCGTTCAAACAAAATTTTCCTTCATTCATTCTTTAATGGGAAATGGCCAATTCTTAGCTGAACAGTCACATAAGAATGAATGTATAATAAATTAAGGGAGTTTCAAAAACTGCTTTGTACGGTTTTATTCTAGAAACTGCTCTAATATACTCATAATTTCACTTTACAAAATTTTTCCACTGAATCAAAATTCATTTCATGCATTGCTAAAAATACCTTCTTTACAAATTTAGAAGAAAGAGATTATAATAATCTGTTTCTAGGAGAATAGGTACCTGAAGGATCAGTTGGAGGTGTACAAAGTGCAAAGGAAAATTCATATTAATTTACCGACAACGAAAACGTTCACAAAAACTTTAGCAGTGTGTGCCATTGTCTGCGTGATGGGTTTAAATTTAAACTACTTTCAGTAAGTATTTCGGTGCAGCTGCTTCCATGATAATATTTTTTATGTTAGGAATCCCAGTGTATTGAGAAATAACAGGCTTATGGTAGAACGAGATGCGAGCGTCTTTGATACCTATCGTAGCCGAAATTTACTTTGGTCAGCTGATTTGGACAACAGCTTTGAAAAGAATGAAACTAAACGTTCGAATGTCCTTGTTTGTCCTGTTCATGTGAATCACACGGAAAATGTTCGTTTAGCTCAAGATTTGCATAGGTAGGTACAGAAAATTTTAAATTGCGTCGCCGCTCACGATTTTCCGCATATCGGGGACAATAAACTATTTCGAAATTTTTGTTGATTTAGTGTTTTAACATTTTAAAAATGCGCTTTAGCTCATTTTAAAAAATGCAAATGCGCTAGGGCGTGTTGTCTATTGGTGTGAAGGATGGCATCTGTGGAGCTTTTCCCACATGCATTGCGTCAAAGGAGTTGTGACGCCGCTGAGGTAGAGAGTTAGACGGAATCAACTCCTTGTGACCAGTAGACAAATTGTCCATGTACTGTGCCATAGCCGATAGGCTCTAGGAATATCATGGTTGAAACTAATTCGCCTTGGTAAATTTGCTCTTAGGAAGATTCGCGCGCGGAGGGTTTGGCTCCAAGAAAACGCTTCCAGATTTTTGTAAAAAAAAATCCCCCAGAGTAATTACTCCCAGCAGATCGGTGCAGTCACGCGAGCGCTTGTAAGAACTGTACTGCTGCATTAACTCCCTGATCAAAAATACAGGCGAAAGTCAATTTTATTAGCGCGTTTTTTAAGAATTACAAAAATTTGCAGACTGCTTTAAAAATGTTGGGTGTTCAAACCAGGAATCTGGACCTATTAAAAATAAGGGTTCTGGTTCTGACACTTCTATCGAAAAAATAGTTATAATACGGTTCTGGTCCAGTTTGCGGTTCTGGTTTCAATTTTTTTTCCCAGTTCCAACGGTTCGGACCTATTGGAAATACGGTTCTGATTCATATTCTAGTTCTAAATATCATTGTGTTAAATCTTTTTTTTAGTTCATAATAGTTATGGTTTTTCGGTTTCAAGTGACAATTTAATTCATGTATGAAAAATCGCATAAGCCGCAGTGCAATTGTCACTTTGACAGCGGCAAAAGTTACCTGCAACTTTTACACCAATTAATAAACTCCATTAATATTCAACCAATCAGCTTGGTGATTGTTTCAAATCCTAACCAATCAGACGATTTTTTAAGTGATTAAACGTTAGGTGGCTTTTTGTCAGCGATATTAATGCGTGTAGGAATGCGTAAAATATGTAGTGGTTGTGCAATATACTGTCTTTTATTAATCTCTCTAAAATACACTCGATCTTGGTTTTAAATCGGGATAATTTTATTTTTAAATTCAAGGGCAACAATAACTAACAATGACAATTCAACTAATTTTTCTAATTCTGTGTCACATACATGATGTCCTGACTGCTATTTCCAATAGGTACTTAAATCGAAATTACCTACTTTTTTTTTCCACTACAAGGGACTCTATTCTTTAAATGTTAGTGTAGTGTGTATGTTTCAAGTTGCCTACTGTCATAATGATGTAAATTATAACTTATTAAGATTAGAATATAAAAACCAGGAAAACCAAGACCTTTTGAAAAGTATCAGAGATAGGTAAGTATGGCATTATTACCAATAGTTTTTGGAGGAACAATAAGATTACAATAAAATATACAGGGTGTTCTATTTAAAAAAAAAGAAATTTTTGATATGAACAATGACAACACCCTGTAAATTTATGTTTAATTGTTTTATAGTAGATGAAATATTTGATTTTTACTTTACCCAGAATAAAAGATGTAGAGCCTGAAATCAAAATTTAAGCAGTAATTTTGACAATAAGCTGACACTTGCAAATGCCAAATTTTTCTTATAAATGAAATTATTTTTAAAACTACAAGTTCTTCGTATATTTACTATATAAAACTTACGACCTTTTTATGGCCTTTCGAAAAACTTTATGTTGGTCCCATAATTTACAATTACGTGCAAATTTTTTTTTGTTTTTTTTGTTTCTCGGTCAATGATACCACATTTAATCAATTCAAAGTATGCACAGCAGTAAAAACGGCATATACCTGTTCTTCACTTTTTAGCGTTTACATTTATCCACTTTCGGTATTCACGCTCATCCATTTGGCTGAAAGAGGTAAAAAATGCATTTTGCGTTCCTCTTGCTTGTTCCATTGCTGCTACTTCCACCCATTAGCCTCTACAGTGTCTCTCTGGTTCTTAGCATTCCAAAATTACTGGAGTCTGTGGAAACATGTGAAATAAAGTCCATTGAAATCTGGAGCTTCTGTCCGATCTTGAGCCTTAAATTTCAAATCTTGTCAAGATCTTAAGTTTGGTTCAAATTTCTCTTATTGTAGTTGTTAATAATGAGTAGTGTGATCAAACATGTTTTTGGCTTTTATACAGGATGTACAAAAAGTTGCTTATCACTATGGATCGTATTTTGAAATTTAACTAGAGGATACAAATTTTTATTGGTAACTTAACGAATTTTGTTTAAAATTAACTCTAACCCTAATATGTTTGTTATATAGTACTTTTTGTAGGTTAATTGGTAAACCATACAACATCTCAAATGATATATACCGAACAGTATCTAGAAAGAGACCTAAAAGGAAAGATTCTATTAAAAAGAATGGTAAGGATGTGGATGGCTCAAACTTATATTCACCATTGCTGTACAAAACGAGTAGACGACAGCGCAGAATAGGATATACCAGTATGAGTAACGAACTTCAGATCTTCTCACCGACAATAGACCAACTATATGCGGAATTTTTTGAAGCTATCAATCGGCAGGATGACACTTTCTATTTGGTTTCTTTGAATTCTGACCATTTCCTCTTGCCTGCATTAAACCATAATAAAACTAGGAGGCCCAAATTATCTCTACTGCTACCTTCGATATTGTCAAACGGTAAGTTGTATAATGATACTTTTAAAACTTTTTGGAAAACGCCTATTTTATTGACATTTGGTTTAACATTAAACAAAATTTTCCAGTTACTTCGTCGCCTGATCCCCACACTGTTTCTCTCATGCAGATTGACTGCGAAGTTGTCGACACTCACTTATTGCATGTTAATTATGGTGCAATACCGCAACATTTGCGAACACATTCTAATACCACTCAAGAACCTTACACTTCAGATGATATGTATCATGGTATGAATAACACAAACAAAAAGTTTACAGTTCGACGAACCTACAAACCTTATTTTATGCGCAAAAGTCATGCAAAACATAAAAACACCACAGATTATAAGGGTAATTACTAATAATGGAACTAATATACTAATAAGTACAAATACTGATGAGCATGTCACACGATGATGTTTTTTTTGTTTTAAGTGTTGTTGTCGGTTGAATTAGACTAATTTATTGCACGTTTAATGTAAATTATATAGTATACGTATACACGAAATCGTTAATTAAGTACAGTCCTAGAAGGATGTTTAAAGCTTTATTTAGTAGTATTGAGTAGGAAGACAAGAGAGGTATTAATAATTTTTTTTACCAAGATAACCATATTCATACAGTTTTACGTATTTTCGCAGTTACGTAATTTGTGACACTTAATAGACAGTGAGCATTATTATCGCTAGCCGTTAATGGAAATGGTAATTGTAATAAAGTATCAGGATGTTACATGTTGTCATATCGTAAATATTTGCATTATTCGTGGGAGGGGTCTGAATTTGAATTTGTACAAGAAAATGATTTTGGGATCTCAATTGCTTCACTGTGTACAGAGTAAGTATTTAAATGATTAATAAACTGATTATGTTTACGTTTGGCCAGTCCATATTGCAAAATGTGAACAATGTCAAGCAATAAATTTTTGTTAAACAATTTTATGAAAATCATTTTATTTTATATCCCATTGTGTACCCATGGCCATAATAACAATTCATCAAATATATTATACAATGTTAAGGTTTTATTATCTTGGTCTTTGGCCTTGCATAAATACCAGGAAGTAATAACTATAATAATACAGTATAGATATAACGTTTGATAGAATAAATGTTGACTTCAGTTTAATCTTTCATAGTCCAAATGTACGGTTGATTATAACAGAGTGCAGTGTGTCTTCTCTGATTGATTGTTTTGGCTTGCGATTTCATAAGGATAATTGGGACACTATTTGCGTCTTCAATCTACACATTCCCATGTTTCAGTATTTGACTAACCAAAATGTTCAAAATTTATAAGTTATGTTGACACGCCACGTCCTCGATACCGTTCGTTTATTGTACAGTTATTGGGTGTGTTCACCAGAACTAACTGTTTGCAAAACGTAGGCGCTACATAAGCATGTTTGCTGAACGCATTGCTAATAGTCAAACTGTTTGCAAGTGTTCGCCATTTTTTTAATCGTAATGGGCAGGTTCGACATTTTTTTATTTTAACTGAAATCGAGAGATTTTGTTATTAAAAAACGATCAAATAACAATTTATGAGAAACTGTCTGGTTACTTTGTATATTGTTGGGAGTTTGGACACTGAGCAAAATGTTGGGAGAATCCAGACGAATCCCAACCATCTGGCAACCCTGTTCCTGAAACGGATAATCGAACGCATCTAAAGTAAAATGGAGACTTAGTTACTGTTAGTAATTTGTTAGTAATTTTGTTTGAGAATTAAATGTTAAAATGAAACGTACACCAAAGAGTACTAAATATAAACCAATAAAACATTATACAAATATATTTTCACTTTTTTGGTATGAAAACATCCAATAGGAGACTACCGACACAATTACCTATTTTTACAGAGCATTTTCGGGTCATACATTATGCTGTGTTGCCAATTTTTAAAAAGACCATTACCGTAGGTTATTCAATTGTCATTTTGGAGGACATTTTTCTTCTTATAAATCTATATAGAGCGCCTGCCATTACCTTTAGTTATTTGGCTAGTAATAATGAAGTTTGGTGAACAAAATATTGATTTGGGCATACCTTGGCCACACACACACACAACCACAATATTTACTGTATAAATCTGTACTTCGTAGCTGCTGGAATATGGTGATTGGTCCATATCCATAATTTCAGAAAAACCAGCTTATTGAATCGCTTTATATTATGAAGTGAAGTGGGGGTTAACTGGTCACCATTTTTGGGGCATTTTTTGTTCTGGCGTAAAGGTTGGTATTACCATACGATCTTATTCTTTCAAAAGAACATGTTAAAACACTTACATATTTAAAAAAAACTGAAATTGGCCAGTTAACCCTCGAGTTAACCCCACTGGGCGATCCACAAATAAAATGCTTGGATATTCAAACTTATTTATAAACTTTACGTTCGCGTCGGCGTTCGTCGTCCAAATTTCAATATCGTTCAGGCCTTTTTCAGTTATCGTGTTCACAAAAAACGAACCAATATATGAACAGGGTCATTCCGTATATTTAGATAGCGCGTAGCGCGATTATTATAAGAAATAGAAAAAATGAAATGAATATCGCAAACTGGCATATCGAAAATTTACCACGATTACAATACTTTCCTTTATAAACACTTTGTATGTAATCGGAAAGTAAACAAAAACTTAAAAACTCAAAACCTTATTTTATTTTTATGTAAATGCCATGCTCTTGCAATATTCTGCATTACTCACCCCAAGCCAGCGGATCTGTTGAAGGTCAATTGCATTACGTCTCCCACAGCCCTAGTTCTACAAATAGATCACTGCGTTATTGTCTATTACTGTGTATGGATCATGCTTGACTATTTTCTTGTAAACTGAGTTTTTATGTGAGGTATCAGTAGCCCCAATTATGTACTCTGGATTATTAAGACTTTACTGTACTCATTTTGATTTTTAAATAATTAACTTTCTCATTTCGCTTTATGAAACAATTGTGTACATGCAAATCTCCACTTTTCGAGTGCGCGGGTTAAATCTAAACCAGTCAATGCTGGATATCAATTGAATAACTTACTCTAAAACCACATAATGAAAACTATCGGCCCTACTGAAATAGTTTTTTGAACATCGCCCATTTCCAATGATCAATGTTTCATATCAATTTTTATCAAACGTCTGTCTGATAACGCTGCATTTTGAGTTTTTTTTGCTTCAGATTGTGTTGATGATGTACTCTTTTTATGGATCTGGTAACGCACCACAAGGATGTTGGGGTATCACAGCATGTTACAAATGTATACAAAAGCATATATGTCCTCTGCTCTAGTTAAGAACAGAATGTTGTGGTGGTACTTCCTAGGAATATGTCACGATGGTAAGGTTATATCACAAAAAATAAGTCTATCATCTTCTGCTTTGAATGCATCGCTACTATTTTTTTCTTGTTTTTGCAACAGTTTCATTAGAACTCTGTTGGCGTTCATAAGAATATCTGTTTTACATTTCTGGTTTCCATAGTGAACTGCTTACTCACCTAATTCTTAGGTTGATATCCATTGTGTTCTGCACACTTTTGTAGATATGGGATTTCTGAGCATGATTGTCTTCTAACAATTTCCAAAAGACCATCCGTATAGTTACAACTCCAAGTAAGTACTTACCTTACATTCCTTTTTGACAATTAGTTATTGGGTTAACCCATAAACTGGTCACAGGAACATCAGTTTGTTTACCATCCTCAATCAACCAACTCTTTGTATTAAAGGAAAATTTAATTTCCATTGGGTACTGGATTCTATGGGATACCCTAAATAAACCGCAGAACAGAATGAAAGGATCCAATATTACAATCCCCGAACTTCTTCTAGTCATATTCCTATTGGTCATCCAAACCATTCTCAGCACCCGAACTCAAACGAACTTGAAGTTACATGTTCGCGTTACCTCCAACTTTTCCAATATTTACGGTAGGTCGGTTTCAACCTTTAGAATACCTACTGAGGATTACTGTAAAACTACTAATCGACACTGTAAACTTTATGTGATGCCCATTTATGCACAATAAAAAATGGAAGTAAGGATAGTTGCTTTCAGGTCATATTTGCCAAATCTTAAACATACTATATTTTTTTTTCAATTATAGTTTACTTTCCAATTTTTACAATTTTCGTATTCGTTCATTTTCCTTTTGGATAATGCGCCAAAAATTTAGCAATAAGGTGGTAAAATTCGATGGAAAAATTAGTTGTTTTTTGCAACCCTTAAATAAACCATTTAAATTCTTCTCACAATGATAAATGCAAGCAAAACACGAAAATTATTATGTGTGATAGCACTCACAAACTGGTTAACCTTCACTTAACCGTGGAATCATTTCCTGATCTTTCTTTTAATATTATTACTACCTTTTGCACTTGCTACTATGCTTGCCTAAACCTTTTATACTCCAAGAGTAGGATAAAATACATATTTCAGGTTTTTCTGGATTTCCTTTCCTCTTAGTGCCGTCTCATTTACATTATAATTTTTTCTCCTTGAGTCCATAGAAATTATATTGGTTTCATTGATATCATGATTTCGTTATTAAAAGGTAAAGTTCATATAAAAACGTTCATTGTAAGGAAGTGTAATATTGAAACTTGTGGTCACTGTACAGTGTACATCCTGTATTTTATTTCAACAACTAACATTTTGTGGTCGCATAGACGAATTCGCCCATTAGTGTGGGAGGGTATAATAAGACTTTAAATAATGGCGACGTATTTGAATTGCATTTATTTTAATTTTTAATGAGGTGTAGCTTTTATATATGTCATTTCTACAAACCGGTTCCTTCAAGGATTGTTTATGTAAGAAAAATTGTTATAAATAGGTAAATAATGTACAAATAAGTGGTTAGCAGAAGTTCACTTGGTAGGTTTTTAAATTTGTAGTTTTATAAAACATGGGTAAGCTGATCAATATTGTCTGCACCCTCGGGAGTATTACGTAATTAGTAAAATTGTAAAGTATGGATTTGTGTTCTGTGATAAAAATAAAACAATAAAAAATATATGGTTGTTTATTTCATAGAGTGAGTTATGCATGATTAAATATTCACAAACTTATTACTTAAGATCGGGCGTACTGGCTCCTAAATAGCACTTTAGGTCGTTCATTGTAGATTTAATGAGTTTAGCTTTTATTGTAGGTAAGTTTAAATTTTTGTGTGCAACATACCGGTGGCAACCTCCAAAACTGTAATAGTAATTCCCACCTTCTCGCCCTGTGATCCACATTACATCAATAGGGGGTATCAGATCTGCAGTTTCTGGGTTACTTAAGGTTCCCATAATTGATTCCACTTTATTTAGATTTACTTCTGGCATAATTGGTCGGATAATAGCTGTCATTGGAACATTATGTACTTCCATTATACCTGCCCCATGTATACTAGCCATTTTATCTAAAAAGAGTAGTAGGTAGTACAGTTTGTAATTTATCTAAAATTATTTGCACTTACTTATATGTAGACGACGGCTTTTAATGTTTAAACTTTCCCAAACTTTTAAGTTAACTTTATTCAACAAATGGATTGTGTATAATGCTGCAGCTGACTTTCCTTCACCAGTATTCATAACTTACTGTACTTTGTAAGGAGAGGGTAAGTAGTAGTTGCATCACTTACTTTCCCTTCATCCTATTGGTTCAAAGCGTTACGTGTAGATTGTCTCAAAGTTTAATTCTTGTTTACTTTCTATAAATAGACTGTTTATAATCACAAATTATGAAAATCTACAGGTTGTTTTCAATCTAAGGTGGTCATAGCGAATGTCATTGCTCTTGTCCAAGTAAAAATTTGCAACCAATTTTGTATAGGTATGACATAAATTATCCAAACTAATATTTGTGTTTGTGTTTATTAATAATTAGTATAAATCTCTGCATTGTATGTAAATAAGAGATTAATTAATATGTACTATGTTTATCACTTCTATGATTTGGATAAGTTTCGGCTGACAATTAAAATAAATAACAAATGTATGATGATGCACGAATTATCTACATTTCCCTTGATGCATAATCAGCGTTATTGTTTATTTAAATTATTAATGTAAGATTACTTATGTTTTTGTGAAATGAAGTTTGTCCTATTAGAAATTGAAGTGTTTAAATACTTACCTAGGAAACCTAATCATAATATCTGCCACATAATCATCAAATGTACATTAACTAGGTCATTAATCGTTATCTAATTGAGAGCACTTCCTAGCATCAAGGCTATTGACGAATCTAGACGTAAAAACAGTCTTTTAACATTGCGTGAAACGTCACGCGTTTGGACCCTATCCAAATGCATTATGTTGAGAGCTGTTTTTAACAGTGATACCTATAGTTAACAAAAACTACCCCAAGTAAGACTTTATTAGCGTAGACGTTCAGCGGATTTGCTGAGTGAAAAACTTAGCCGCTGCTGACCGCGCTCAATGATCCAGGCTAATAAATATCTTTTACAAGCAAAAAGGAGTGTTCAAAATTAATTGTGCATGAACATTTGAAATAATGTTTTTAATTTAAAGGAATGTATTTATTCTTCAAAATTTGTCAATACCCTTTATAATTAGCAGAAGATCAGTCTTAGGTGAAATGTCGTGAATGGGTAATTTTGGACTTTGCAATAGGTAAAGGAAGCTTTTTTTAAAGAAATGTACGAGTTATACACAGAGTGGCAGCGTTTGGTTGTTCAACTGCTGGGAATATTCTTCATGCTACAAAGGTATTCGATGCCTCACCAAAGAAGGGCTGACTTGGTCTTTTTAGCCTTGGAAAAGAAAAAGACTGAAACTTGAATTTTAAACTTGAAGTACTTATTTCTTCAAACATTTAACAAAAGAAGAGATGAAAAATCTTGAACTACTGCAATTGACTATATTAATTAAGACAATGGGCCGTATGAATAAAAGTAAGCAAATGCTTATACTTGCAAAATTCAAAGTAAATACTCGTAACTGCCCCTTCATACTGGTCTGTTTAGCATGGTTTAGCAGCGCTGCACTGCGTCCTGTCCTTCTGCTTAGAACGCTGCTAAGTCGCCCAGTGCGAAGGAGCACTTACGAGTATTTACTTTGAATTTTGCAAGTATAAGCATTTGCTTACTTTTATTCATACGACCCAATGTTTTAGGTTGTAAGATGTGGTAATAGTGTGTTTTGTATTATTTAATTAATAAGCAAGGTGTATTGTGTGTTTCCGTGTAAACCTAAGTGTTGTGGGTTCATAAATGACCATTTTTACCCCCTGAAATATGTAGTATAAGAGAGGTCTCTGGTCTACGAATGAACTCCAATACTTTTAATGAGAGATATCTGCGTTTAGGACTCCCACGAACCCAGATGTCAATGATCGACACTCCGCCTGTCTGTGCACTGATCATTTCCTACCAAAATCACTGAACCGAAAGTAACTAAAAAGTTGGCACACGCTGTAAAGGTGAACAGCTGAAAAGCTTTTGCTATCTACAGAACTGTATTTTCCAAGAAAAACGAATTTCTACAGCGGATGGTATTTGTTCGGGATACGACAAATTATTATCGCCCTCTTGCTTTGTAGATTTAGAAGCCCGCTCTTCGTAATCAATGTGGTTAATGGTTTAGGCCTTATGAGGAAAGCGTTAGGAGTTTCGATATCGCTTAAAAAACTTACTTCAAAACCTTTGCCAAAGCATACATTGCTAAAACTGTAGAAATGGTATAAACAATAGTCCATTGCTATATTTAGATTTTTAATCAATATACGGACATATGCTATAGGTAGGTAGGTACATTTTTAACGCATTAGTCAAAAATAAAATTCGCTTAATTACGAGCAGGAAACCGCCCGTGGGAGGACGACTCAGCATTGGAAAGTAGTAAAAAACTCATTGATTGACCACTATCATTACTTTGATGCGCATTATTCGTGTCATACTCGGTAGAAAGTTTTCAATTATCCCCAATTTTGTCAAGAAAACTGCAAGAAGCATTGTCAAATAGATTTTGTAGTCTCTTGTTGTTATATTGGTAGAGAGAAATCTTTATTTATTCACCAATTTTTGGGAAATCGACTTATTCTATTTATCCACTAAACTCATGCAGATGAACCGGTGCTATGCCTTATTGCCAGTGCTCGGTTCCACAGGATGCATTCCTATTTGTGTGAATTGGATTCATAAAACGCAGAGTATCTATTAAAATATTAAAAGTTATCATTCCAAATGTCTATGTTACATAATTTGCAGATTGCATCGACTAACTGAAGAAGTGCCCATATACAAGCGCCGCCGGTATGACCGAGTGCTGGCTTGACAAGCGTCGGAATGACCGACCGCCGGCATGGTTCGACGCCGCGCCGGTTCGTGCATTACCGGTTCGGTTAGGCAGTTGCCGGTTTGAAATGCTCTGGTTTTGGCGTGAGAGGAGGTATTTTAGGAAAATGTAAACCGCTGAAAATCCATCCCAGGCTGTTTTATACTTGTTAGGTCTACTGCTTTGGGAAGGACATTCGATCTATACCTAAAATGCCCCAAGAGCTACCGAAAGCACAAGAAACGTTTTCAATAAATTTTTTGCAATAGAGGCCGAAAAATTTTTTCGCGACATTTTATATCGTCAGTTTAGAACTTCTTATGCAATTAATTTTGGTGGACCTGAGGCCACCGTTCAGAGGTTTCCAGGCCGTTCAATTGTTTTTTTTTCTATGGGAAAGTCAATGAAAACTCTCATGGAAGGCTCTTGAACGGCCTTTTATTCGCTTTCCGGAAGAATTTAGCTAGAGCTTTTTGGTTTTACTGATGTTGAGGCCCTTTAGAAAGTTTTTTAGGGCAGTGTTTTCAAGGCTCGTATTTTTCGCAGACCTACTTACCGAACCGGAGTGTGTTCAATTGTTTGGGAGCGTAAGAATAGCAATAAAACTCATAAATGAATCTGAAAGATAGGTACCTACTTACTTGAGCGAGGACTTTAGGAAAAATCAAATGGGCGCTTTGAAAATCGAGAAATTTATGAAGTGAACGTGAATGTAATTTCGGGAGAATGGGAGAAGATTTAGTGAGAACTTCAAGAAAAAAAAAGGACTGAAAAAACTTATTGAGAGGAGAACCGTGAGAGGTTCTCGACAGGAATATTAGAATTACCTACTCCTTTTATTACACGGGCGAGCAACGACCGGCGAATTTTGTCTATGCGCTCATTTGACCAGCAGGAACTTCATTTTTACCAGTAGAGTAGGCATGCAAATGACCGCAAGACTTTCCTTCATCAACCTTTAGTTGAAAAAGTAAAAAACGTGTGAAGTAAAATATTGCGAAATTCAAAGTTTCCGTAATGTCAATACGTTCAGTTACATTGTGTGAATTGTGTCATGTATTACTGCATTGCTATTACATTGTATGTATTACTGGTACTAAACTTTAAATTCAGCGCCAGTTTTCCCTCTCCTTTTTATTTCCGAGTTCCGTCATCCGTGGCGTGGCATTCGTTTCGTTAATCAATACATTTCCGGTTGCGGCCATTTGTAAGCGTCTTCTCTGGGAAATTACGTTACAACTTTACAAGTGATTTTGTGACTGTTTACTTCTCCCTTTGTTTAATTAAAATTACGTTTTAAGGTAACATCATTTACTATTATATATCGTTTAATCAGTATGTAGTAATTCCATTTCTAATTGGTGTATTGTTATCGTAGATTTGTTAAAAATGTTGAATACCGGTTTTAAAAGTCTCCTTTTCAATAGATTAAGAATGAGTGTGGAAGACGTAGAACGCTCAAGAGAACGCGATAGGTCTGCACGAGATCGTACTAGGTTTAATGATCAAAGCAGAGATCGAAGTCCTGACAGAGGCAAGGCTCGTGGTGCCAACAAATCTTCTCCATGTCGCGTTTATGTTTCTAATATCCCCTACGAATATCGTTGGCAAGATATGAAAGATCTGTTCCGAAAGGAGGTTGGCGATGTCTCCTTTGTTGAGCTCTTTGTAGACGAATCTGATAAACCACGTGGGTGTGGCATTGTCGAGTTCTCTGACAATGCGTCCGTAAAGAAATGTCTTGAAGTAATGCATCGTTTCGAATTGAAAGGGAGAAAGTTGGTTATTAAGGAGGACTACGGGAATCAACGAGATAAGTTTGGGAATCTCGTCGGGTCTGCTGCCAGTAAACGTGCTCGCGATCGCGAGGATGGCAAAGTTAGCTTTCGTGATGAACGTCGTCCAACTGGTGGATTCGATGCACCTAATCAAATGAATTCGAATCAAGATTTTTCTGATAGGAGCAACACATATGGCTTAAGCCCGTCATTCTTGGATTCGTTGGGTATCAATCTTCCATTAATCAGCAGAGTGTTTGTCGCCAATGTAAGTAAATTGTTTAAAATGTGTAATGTGTAGATATTTGATCCGTTGGCAATCCCTTTGTGTAAGCAATAAGGAGGTAACCGATAAAAAAATCTATTTTATGTTTGAAAATTTTAAAAAATCATGTCTGTATGGAACTATTACTGTTTCTAGTGTCGTAGAGGTCCTCATTTCTTATCCAGGTAGCACAGACATGAAAGTTTCTTGAGTGTAGAGTCAATAAGGTTGTCCTATGTCGCATTGTTGACCTATGGCATGAAAGTAAATGAAATCCAATGTGTAGGTGTTGAAACAACATGGGACATTTTAAAAGGTATTTTAACGGTAACAGTTTATACGGTTTCAATTTTGCTACTTAGTATCCAGATAAATCAAAACTCCGATTGGTGGATGGATATATACACGGATGTTGGACAGAATGTGTTCAAAACTTAAGACAATTCTAAGAATAAAAGTACCTAAAGCAAATGGTGGTGCCCCTAAACTGGAAAACTTCTTGGTTTTTTAAATTGTATAGTCGATTTTCCAGCTGTAATTTTCTCAATTCCATTCACTGTGGAAGCAGAAGAGGAGGTTTAAATCCCAGGTAAGGAATGGTTGTTTATATTTGTGTAGTTGGTCCAGTGGGAAGAGTATGTATCAGCTAAAACTCCACCCACTATAAAATACAAGCATTAAAATATATTGTATGTTTGCAAGGATGGTAAACTTTTACTTATGAACTACCGATTTTGGATTGTAAAGGACTTTGCATTATACAGCCAGAAACTCATTAATCCAATTTATATTAATCCGAACAAAAGTGTGAACGTTGTACAAATCTCCCACCAAAACGTGCTCATGTGCTAAACTTTTGATATTTATTGTTTAAATATAGAACAGTTGTGTTTGGATGGAGTATTCATTTTTGTACGATTTATAACTGTTTATTTCTTACTATATAATTCAAAATATCGTTTTATTGTCATATAGAAAAAATTTGGCAATTATAGTTTTGGGCTGCCAACATCATTTTTGAGTTAGAAATTAAAATTGGTATGCTGGTCGCTATAAATACATGAACACCCAGTGTACTTTGATCAATTTTGATGAAATTCTCAGGACACTTATTTGGCAATAAGAAACTGAAAATTTCAACATAATACAAATTAAAGTAACACTTAATAACCAAGTTTAACAATTAATAACAGCAACAAACAAATAATTGTGCATGAACAACACTACTTAATACTTAAATAGACCCCTTGCTTAAAAAATCTGTAAGTTTACAAATTTCCCCTAATTTTCGGCCACTTCATTTAACCAGTCGTGCATGGTTTCCATATTGACCAAACCTGGCCCCCCCCCCCCATTTTTCCACTGCACACACCATGCCGTTTTTTGAAACGTTCAATCCAGCTATGACTGCACTTGAATTTTTTATTTTGTATCATGCTTCCCAAACCACTTGACTGTTCTGGTCAAACATCGATCTAACTCTTCATGATGAGACTTCCTTAACTTTTTAGCATCACAATTATCACGTTCATTAACATGTAGTATTTTAACCCTTTCTTTACAAATTGTGGTGACTCTTGATTTAGTTAACCCTATTGGTAGACGGACCTCGCTTTGGTTTGTGCTGTTTTGCATTTTTTGTACAAAGCAGTGTTATTGCTAGCCCCTGGTTTTTATTGGTGGGTAGGACTAATGACTCACACAGCGGTTTAGGTAGACTCGGTGACCGAGTCAGCTACCTATTTCATGCAGTAAGTTCATTATAGGTGGAATGTTTACCTGTTAGCGGCAAAGATATAGTTCGCTTTAAGCGGGTTCGTTATAAAGGAAAAAAATGCATTATGAGTATAGGTCCAAAGTACAATTCCTCAAAAAAGTTCGTTATAGTCGGGAGTTCGCTATAAACGGGTTTGTTATACAGGTATCAAATTTCGTGTTAAGTACAGAGATCTCTTATTAGCATAAGTAGAGAGCTGGTTAAATGGATAAATATGGTGAAAAATTAACATAATAATTAACGTTTTTGATTTTTGGCTTTGAAATCGTTATTTGGAGAGGTATTTAAAAACCAAAAAGACTTTTTTTGACCTTCCTGCTACGAAGAGGGGTACTCTAATTTTTGTTTTTTGATAATATTATACTAGTGACTTAATGCGCTTTCGTGGTTTAGTATGCATTCTTTTAATTGTTGCTGATTATGCTTCTATGTACTTTTATTATTTTCTGTAAAAAGTTAGACGCATCAGCATCAAAACACTGTGCAAACTATCCATTGTAAAGATTATGCTAAAAAATAAGTTGTAGAATTAATGGCCGTTTGCATCGACAAATTTAAGCGTAGCTTAAAATTAGTGGTAGAACGATACCGATATTGATATCGGCAATTGTTGCCGATTATCGGTATCGTATCGTATCGGCAAGGTAATTGCGCCGATATATCGGCAAACAATTTTTTTAACTGTTTTAACTCTTCAGTGCATAAATGAAATACTTTATTAAAGAAAATAAAATGTTTTATTCTAAAGTTAACATTTTTACTAAAAAAGTTAAAAAAAAACAACAAAAATATACCTAATATAGCAGGTTCTAAATACAGTATATACTTAATCTATAAATAGAATAGATGAAGCAATGCCAAACGTTTCCTTGCAACGGAATAATTATAAATCGGGACTTTCCCGGTTTTGTGCTTGACCTTGTCTAAATAGTAACGCCATCTATTGTTTGCCGATACGATATATCGGCACGTAAATATCGGTATCGGCCGATATATCGTATCGGCAAAAAAAAGTTATATCGTTCTATCACTACTTAAAATCCATGGCATCCATTATTGAGACAATGGTTGCTATAGATTTTAAGCTAGGCTTCGCTTAAATTTGTCGGTGCAAACGGCCATAAGTGATCAACATTAGTAATTACTATTACGTTATTAGATTAACGCTAATAAAAAATGTTTGTTATATCTATTTTTTTGTAAGTACATGTAATCGAATACTTGTAGTTTTTTTTTTAAATTTTGAACTGTTGGTTTGTTGGTTTCTTTAAACATGCTATATATTTATTTTTTGCCATATTTAGGAAACCTTAGAGGAGGTAAATTTTGTTGTATTTCATAAATCAAGGATCATTTTTCTCCATTTATCCAGCTATCTATCTATATGGTAATGAGCGAGATCTCCGTACTTAAAATGAAACGTGGATAGCCATCATTCATCCTTAAACACCCTGTACAATTATTTATTTAGGTGCAATTCCCCCCCCCCCCCCCCCCTGAAATAAATGGGCACGTGTGATTGCGCTTCTCAAACTTTTGTTCTTAGAATAGTCTAATGATTTGTTTGTTAATCCATATCTTAATCTCTTCCATATAGGATGAGCTAAATGAATATTAAGTTGTCAAACAAATTTTGTAACACAATGCAAGATGTCCTAATGTTGTTTAACACTCTCTTTACACTAATCTACATGTGTACAGTGGGCATTGTCTTTTTATGGTTGACCTCTTTAATTTACACTTGAATTGTTGATGCATATTGTGTTTCTTACTTCGTTAAATCTAGTTTGTGTATGTTTGTTATGAAATGTGGGTGGTAATATGGGATTCCACTGGTTGAAATATTGGAATTTTTAGTATTTGGTTTTTTATTTTGGTAAGATTGAGGTTTTGCTGTACGCAAAGCGCACAATAATGACAAAGGATTCCTTTACAGTTGGATTATAAAGTGGATAAGAAGAAACTTAAGGAAGTGTTTAGGTTGGCCGGAAAGGTACAAAGGATTGATTTGTCCGCTGATAAAGATGGGAAAAGTAGAGGGTTTGCTGTCCTTGAATATGATCACCCTGTCGAAGCAGTACAAGCTATTTCTATGTTCCACAATCAAGTGTTATACGATCGTATCATGACAGTACGTATGGATCGTGAAGGTGATAAAGGAATTGTAAAATTACCAGACGGTTTGAAAGATATAGGAATGGGGTTGGGTTCCAACGGTGAACCGTTAAGAGATGTGGCTCGAAACTTACCTTCCGTTAATAATCAACCTCCTCAACCATCGGGCGCTGGTATATTGGGAGCGGTTCCATCGGTACCGTTGGGTATAGGAAATTTGGGTAATTTAAGCACAGTCGGTTCTTCGGCTCTTAACAATTTAAGTACAAATGCAGCTGTGTTGCAAGCTGCTAACCTTGCGGGTGTAGGTGGTTTGTCGAGTAATTTACTTGCGAATAGTCTGGGAGGTGGGGATTTGGGACTAGCCGCCAGTCTGGTTAATAATCCACTTGTTCAAAATCAATCGTTGGCCGCACTTACCGGTACAGGAAATCTGGGAGGAGGCAGTTCCTTGAATAGTTCAAGCTTCTCTCGCAATGATTTGGGCAGCTCTCAGAACAACTCAAGTTTTCAAAGTTCAGTATTATCGCAAAACAAGAACTACCTAGGTGGTGGAAACAGATCATTCGACGATAAATCTTCGAATTTTGATTTTGGCAATGCAGATAGAGACTCTCGTAATAAACCCAATCAAAATGCATACGGTGGAGTAAATAACGGAAATCAAATGCTGCGAGGAGGAAGAGTAACTGACATGAATGCTGGTGGTGGTGGAGGCGGCGTCGGCGGTGGTGGCGAAAATGGTTATTCAAATAAAATATTGATCTCCAATGTGAGTGTTAATTGTCTAATTCCTTGCAAATATTTCTTTATTTTCTATTGTAGCTTCCGCCAACGGCAAGTTATAAAATGATCACTGAAAAATGCAGCGAGTTTGGAGAAGTTCAACGGTTTGAAGACAAAGGCAACAATGGTCTTCTTGTTGTATTTGGTTCACAGTGGGAAGCAGAACGTGCTATAAGTATCCTTTCTTATTATTGCCCCGTGAGGGGTTCCTTGTTTCTGTCTGATTTTGCATTTGTGCCAATCACATTTTTTCTAAAAGCGGGCAAGGTTGATCTAGTGGGTCCCTAATTTTATGAGATAAATGAGGTAGGACCAAAACATTCAAACTGAAATTAGGACTGAACTACTTCACCAACTCTTGATCTCCACTTACCTCAAACAGTGTTTGAAATTAATTGGGTAGGTAAGTGTTTGTCTGATATTCGTTCATTGTTAATACAATTTTTAGTTTGCTCAAAAATTAGTGTTACAGAAATGTCTTTTTCATTGTTATTTTACGATTTCAATACTTTGTTGACGAGAACTATGAAAAAAATTAAAATGTCTTGTCCACTACATTCATGCTGTGAAATGGCTTTCAACTGGTCTGATTTAGTAAACCAACAAATTAAATGAGATATTTTCCTTAATTAATTTTTCAGAAAACATGGATCGTGCTCGTATTAACGGACGGACCATTGATGTTCGATTCTTTTACTAAGCTATCAATTTCGTTTTAAAATTTCATTAGGTTAGATATAGTTGTATACCTTGGGTACTTTACTTTTTTTATATTTAAAACCACAAAATCGACCCAGATTTGGTTTCGACAAAAAGACACTGATCTATATTAGGTTTTAAATTTTTTCGCATCGTGTGAGATTTTATATTTTAATTCGAACAGTTGTTTATGTATCGCTTAATAGTTAAGTCATTTAAATATCTGTATTCAATGTTCGTAGGTTACTGATTAGGGTTCGTTTGGTGTCTTTGCGTCATGTACATTTTATTGCTGTATCTACTGTTGTGTCACTTGGGCATTATTTCAAGATTTCGTCTGTGCTGCAATGGTAATAGGTAAGTTTGAAGTCCGTTAATCACTGGTTTAGGATATTGGGTTCTACTTGTTGAAGTGGTTGGTAGAGTTTGTGTTCCATTTGCACGATCGAAGTAAAAGATGTTCGTTTACCTGGGGTGTACTATTTTGATTGGAGGATTATGGAGGCAATCGTTCTTGGTATTGTGTGGGCTCGAAATTTTTGCAAATGGAACGCAGTGATACCCGGTATTGTTTCTCATTTACAGGCTTCGAGGTTCTACTTTCTGCGGTTCATTTGGAATAGTCACATTTTTGCAATACAACCATGTCATTACTTATATTATGTGAATATTAATAAATTTTTTTTTATAGGTAACTTCCTTTGAGAATGGTTGACCCTACAATGATTGTTTTGGACAATGATTTCATACATGAAGCTTGGAACCCTACAGCTATGGTGAAGAAATAATTAAGTTTGATTTTTATCGATCCGACATTTCATTTCATCTATTTGACATAAACGCTTTAGACTGTTAATGTACAAATTCTTTTGTATAATTTATACAAAATATATATTATCAATTGTAATTGTGTAGTGTATAATTTTTTCTCCAATTTGTCCATTTCCGTGATGCTTATATAGTGTCTTGTTAAAACTTGCTTCAGTAGCACCAAACGGTAAATAATGTGATTGTTTTATAGGCAAACTTTTTTACCTATATACTATCAAATTAAATTTACTATAAAAATGGGACGCGCAAAACAATTTTTCTGATTTGGTATTAGTTTTTTACTCGCCGTGCGTACATACAAAATTTCATTAATTATCTGGCCAAATAAAAAAATGTGCTTGCGCAAATACAAAAGTTGGAATCCGCATGCGAAATATTTTGTTTGCATTTTAATAGTTGCCCGAGGTTTAAGGAATATTCACTGACACAGAAAACCGGACATTCATATGTCCTTATTAACAAAAAGTATAAAAAGACCCATTTTTAGAGGTTCAGGCAGTTTTTGGGCTGTAACTTGTCGACCCTCTACGTCACTGAAAAACAATAGCGAGCTTTCTTGTATGCTTAAGAACATATTTTCAAAGCGATCGGAGGTTTCTAAACAAAGTTATCGTGCGCACAGACAGCAGTACAAAATTATAAACGTTAATAAGTTTTTTTTCAAACGATTTATTATAATTTACAAAATAATCCGTCCAACTCTTTCGCGCTTAGTATCAAGACTAACATTATTTTATACACTCTTGATCTTCCTACTCTGACGTGTTTTTATGCTTTTATAAAACCTTTAATTAAAACGAAGACAATAAATAATCCCTTGTCAGTAATTCTAATTAAATTACCCTCTACGAAAAATTTAAAATGCCTAGGCAAGGCGGTCATATCTTGTGAATAGGTTACATTCTAGATTCTTATACTTATTTTGATATGGTTACGCGTATCTTAAATCCAATTTATAACCTATACTAACTATGCTTTGATTATTTTTGATGAAAGTTTCAGGACAACTGTCCTTATTGACCGGGAGGCAGCGTACATAGTAACTAAACCATAAGCGACAAAAAATTCGACAATACAGGCTGAAAGTACATTGAAATCTAATAATAACATCACTTGTCTGCCAGTCGTAAGTGGCAGCATTAACTTGGGGCGGCGCTGAATAGGTGACTTCTTTAGGTGATCAACTAAATTACCAAACTATAAGGGTCACGAAAAAGATTTGTATCAAGAAATCCCATTTTTTCCATAGTTTTCAAATATGCTATGGCAGACGATTTCAAGTGCAGCGTTGGTAGCGAAAGACGCCCTCCAACACCCCTGAACCAAAGAGTAACTAATAATAAGAGATGCAGCGTATCATTAAATTGTGAAATAGTTTGAATTTACTCAGTGCTGGGAGGGCGATACTCTGGCCCTCTAGTAACTGAGTTGAATAATTAAAATGTACCGTAAAGTTGGCGAGATTATAGGTACCTGCAGCAAAACGGTAACATTATTCATCGCGGTGTTGCCAAAGATACTCTCCATAAATTCAACGCTGTGTGGGCGAGAGTCGGGTTACTCAAAGCAATGCGTATCAAACTAACAACAACTAATTGTCTCGCACTTCCCCGGTTATCGCCTTTCAGTGCGATCATTCTATAAATAAAAAATATGACCTGCCACCTGTTTAATTCTTTAATTATATTATTGCTGTCCTATAAATACTTACTCCCATTATTTACTATTTACATAAACTCTGCTTTGCACTTCTTTACATCTGCCCTCAATCGATATACGATCAATATTTGATACCGCCAATCCCCTATAATTATAACATGTTTGATGTTTTGTAAAAATCCGATTTCTTTTAGCGCTGCGATCGGATAAGCAAATCGTAATAATTATTTGATATCAGAATAAGAAAGATTCCTTATTCAAGGGCGCTAACGCTAACGACGAAGTGAAAACACAAACACAAAATATTGCAATTTGACAACAATTAATAATTTTTTTAAACTCATTACCAAAGGCATTTACAAAGAAGTTGCCTTGTCATACATCGAAGGCGCGATTACTCGTCAGTCGTCATTTAGGTATAGTTTGCACCTAGGTGAGGACTATTGAATTTATATCTGTCCAATTCAATGCTGCGACCTTTTTCTACTTGGTCAGTGAAACAAAATGTAATTGTACAGCACGATCAAGGAATAGGTGCGTTTTCTACGTCCATACTTTCTTCGAGATCGTTTATAATTTGTATTACTGTCTGTCTCTCCGTGTACATACACGATATCTTTGTTTAGAAACGTCCAATCGCTTTGAAAAATGGTACACATAACACATGTAACATGTTCTTAAATAAGAACTACTGTTTTTCAGCTACGTAGACCATCGGGTCCAAAAGTTACAGCCCAAACACAATCTCGAGGATGGTTGGGTATCAGTTAGTATATCGGATTTTTGTATTAGTTTTTAGTATTAAAATTTCGCGATGGCTTACTGTGCATTGTTCGGATGCAACAATGTGCAACTTTTTGATTTACCCGACCATGCTAAACAAAAAGAATTTGGGGGTCTGTTAACCACCATTTTGAATGTCTGGCTAAAGAAAGAATGCGCAAGAATCTCTACAGGAGTTCATTTATCCCGATTATGAATGTTGCAAAAAAATCTTGACATTCGGGGGGGCTATGGTTAACGCTAGCGTCCCATTACTTTAAAATTTCAAATAGCAAGCGCTGAATCAAATCTAGTAGGTACCTAGGTACCACAAAACTTTGGGTTCAGATCACTGGTAGAGCAAAATCTTCATCGATTCAATAATTTCGCCGCGGAAACTTTAAAATGATTTGGCTTTATGCAAAATAACACAACAGAGAGACAGATCGACGACATCGAGATTTTGTTTGATCCGGATTCCTGGTGCCTGGTAAAGTGTGGGGGGTGGTTTATATTTTCCATTGTGTTAATTCCATAGAGGAAATACAATCATACCGAATGCCGAAATTATAACAGTAATCCTTTTTCAATATGCAGTAGTAAATTTCCCTATGTACATAGCAAACAATACTTAATCTTGCTACGTATAAAATTAAATTATGTATGAAAATAATGAGGAGTTCAAAGGTCGATTTGCAAAATAATATTAAATAAAGATGCATGATGTTATGGCATATGGCAACATTGCAAATAGGAACCTGCAAGGCCATTGCAAGGCATAGCCATGGAGGTTGATTAATTAATAATATTTCATGTGGTTAGGCAACACATTTAACAGATAACTATTTCAACCAAACCTATTCCGTTGTACTTCTTATTATTAAGTATTCTTTGCCTGAACTAAACCATGAGGACCGTATAAAAATTATACATACAAAATTCCTCTTTTTGTCACTGCTTTAAAATATATCCTGGCAGACGATACGTGTAGCTTTAATAGTGGCAGACGTCTTAGAAGTTAAAAAATGTAGGTATGCACACAGCAATTATATCTAGTCTTTCCAAATGTACTGGAATTAAAAAAAAAATAGAATTTGAGGAGAGATGCAGATTCACGCAATTTAACACTGCATTACCAGTTCATCAATCACCAACTTCCTAGCTTATTGCAAAGAAATTTTACTATGTGAAGCTGTCTCTATAAAGAAATGATGCCCAGTTGCACCAACAAAATTAAGCCTTGCTTAAAGTTAAGTCGAACTTAAAATTTATGACAACGATTATTAAGACAATCGTTGCTATGGTGTTTAAGTTATGCTTAACTTTAAGGAATACTTAATTTTGACGGTGCAATTGGCCATGAGACAGCATGTGGCTCTGAGAATTTGAAACCATTACCATTTCCAAATAGGGGTAGGTTGCATAATCTGTATATTATGTAGAGATGTGTAGTGACTTTGTGAGGGCGGTACGTGTGAGATTCTGCAAATGGTGTTCTCCATAGTTTGTCTTCGTGTATTTTACGTTGACGAAAGCGCTATTAGTTAGCAGTTAGCGCACCTGTTGTAGTACTGCAGGACTTGTTTTTCAGAAAGTGTAATTTAAATTTTTGATTTGAAATAAATTTATTTATGAGTTGGTTATATACCGGATGTTTAATTACAATGTAAAAATCACAACTATCATAATACGCAATTAATAAAACCTGATGGTTCCAGGGTGTTTTTACATACCAAAGAAAACAATAGCGAATTAAGTACATAACATTAGATAAACATATTTATATAAAAATGGTGAGTTATTATTTTCCACATCTATTCACTTGGCATCATGAAACTTTTTCTTAATTCGTGCAACATATTGTCAATCGAACCTAAAAATAAGTCTTAGACACATATGTTCGTTAAACAGTTATCTAAAATAGTTACATTTAGAATAACTTTTGTGGAGCAGAGTTTTGTTCCTAAACGAGTAGTCCCCTGAAAGATGTAAAAATATCAAACAAATGTTATGACTAGAGAGCGGATTTCTAGGCTTTATGCTTTTTGTGAATACTGTAAGCATGTCGGAATTGTTGAAAGTAATCATCTAGTTTTGATATTTGAAATCGTCTGGTAAAACTTTGTTATGCTTATTTTGCTTTTTTCGGCAATTAATGTTTATGCCTTTTTAAAGCTTTTTATCCAATTTACAACGTAATGTGGTTTTTTTTCCCATTAATTAACGATTAAAAAAAGTGGATTAAGCAGAATGCACTTCACTGCAATATTATTTTATGCGCAACGGACGGATATATTACTCATGTCATGAAACATGCTTTTTTGCATGAAAATAAAACTTTTTTCTAATTTTGTTGTGCTTTTCTAAGCGCTTTTTTTAAAATTTTATACGCTTATAAATCCGCTCTCTAGTTATGACTCAAAACATAAAACCGTAAACACTCTGGAGGTGCAATTTATTTGATGCCAAATCAAAAGTTTTGCTCTTCTGTTTTTGTTAACTTTTGGTGTGTACCTCAACCAAGTGTTTGATTCTTTGAAACTTACTGCTATATCTTTCTTTAGAAAAGGTAATAGAAACTGGAGTTACAGCAAAAGTAACTCTGCTATTTATGTGCTCTTTGTTGTTCTTCATTTCTGGTACCACATTGTCTGTTATATAAGTCTGATGTTGACTATCAATGGTACTGTTTGAATCTGTAAGTATAAAAATCAACTGTTACTTTGAATGAATGATACCAAACAAGTCATATTTCTTACCAACTTCGCTGGAAGTGTCATTCAATATGTCTTTGAAATCTCCCTTCAGACAAACCCATAAGTCTTTTACCGCTCCCAACAAAACTTTGCAACGCTTAAACAACTTGAAATTAACTTCTTCAGTTGTAAAACTTGATGTTTTGTCCAAAAAACAATTTTTTGCCATCACTAATTCGTGTAAAACTACAGAGCAAATAATAATCCACATAAAACCAAAAGTGATAAGATGCAGTAGTCCTACCCTTATGAATTACTCCCAATTTAATTAAAGCATCATCTTTTAATTCGTTTAACAAATGTAAGGAAGTTTTTATCATTGTGCCTAATTCTTTGGTATACAACAGAAAGGGATCTATCATAGCTTTGTCAAGAAGAATTCCTGCAGATATATGCTCCCACATTTTCTCAGCATTCAATGTTAATGCTTCATAAATGATCTGAAAAATTATTTAAAATCAATACTTTGACCAGTAAATAACTATTAAACCTCTTGCCAGGAAAGATTGCTGGTCACAGAACACTTGATCCCGGTCTACAATTTATGATTTTCTAAAGATGTGAGTCACTTCCGGGATAATATAGTGTCAATGTTGAACAAAAAGACTTTTCGTTCAACATTGGCACGATCTTATTCGGGAAGTCGCTCGCATCTTAAGAAAAACATAGATTAATCTATTATTAACACTTAATACATTGTTACATCAACACACTAACCTTGCAGTAAGCTTCAGGTTCTATGATATTATGTACAATACGTCGAAGCTTCTTCATTTGAACGATCCAGTACTTTTTAAAAATATTGGCATATTTCCTCCTATGAGGAGCATGGTTTGTAGTCATAGAAACAAAAGATGGAACTAATTCTTTCTCCAAGAACAGTAAATGTAAGACTAAAATCTGTAAATCTAGCGTTCCTAAAAGATGCCCTTTGCGTCACAAATTCATTTGAGTGAAATGATCATACGTTTATTAATACTGGAACATGCTAATGAAAATAGGGCAATTTGAAATATTCGATCCATGTGGAGATCAAAATCAGTTATCAAATCATCTAATCTTTTTGAAGAATTTGAGTTATAGTTCACACATGCACTATAAAGATCTTCTACAAGGTCTTGATAGTTTGAGAATATCCTTAAACACAAATTCAAAACAGCCACGTTCACTTTTGCTTCTAGTGAGCATAATGCACTGGTATACATTTCAGTCATTAAGTTGAACATATCCAAATTATGTTCTTGTTTGTTAATTTCCACTTTGAGTTGATCAACACTGTTCAATACCTAATAAAAAAGATCAGTGAATGTGTACGGAATTGGTGCACAATACAAACTGTTCGGCATGCTGCAGTTATTATTTTGTTATCGTCATTGTATCCCACTTGACCTATTGATAGTGCAAATGAAAGGATCTCCTCAATAGTTCCACTTGATGCATTTAAACTATCTAAGGCATTGGGGACACCTTTCGAAATATCAATGTCTTCTGCTTTGTCTAAGCATGTGTCCATCAGATTTATAAAGCTACCAACATTACCGTTGCTTTTCAATGTACGTGCATTTTGTGATATACTAATAAGTTCCTTAGATATGCAACCATTCACCTCCTACAAGTCGATTAAGTAAATATACAGAAGTAGTTGCGGACGAGCTACCATTAGAACGTCTTTTTCATTTTTGTGTTCTATAGAGACCGATTTAAAGAAATCATATGTGACAAAGTAATGCATTACAACCACTGCCAAATTATAATATTCTTGCTTTGGTAGGGAAGTAGCATCGCAATAATCTTTGGTTTTGTCTACTATCTTGAAAATGAAAGCCGCTATATCCTAAAAGTGGTTTATCGTTTTAAATAATATAACAGAACAACTTACGTCCAGTATTAACTCTTTTGGGTGAAAGGGGTAATTTGCTAGATATTTTTTTAAATCTTCTACTGCTTTGAAAATACTTTCTTTAGTATTTTTCTCTTCCATTTCACTGCCGTGCCGTCGATTTTGTTCACAAATATTCAAAATTTAACGGTTTTGTTTACCTTGGAAAAGAGTTTTTCATATCCGAGGTGCTACTCTCATAAAATAAATTAATTTTCATACGGGGCTTTTCACATACAAATCATACAGCAATCCAAATCTGTGCAGTTATTTATGTATATTAAGGGCATAAAAATGATGTTTATATTCTTGATGACGACGAATTAAAAAGCTCGAGACCCGTCAGGCCCGAGAGTATAAACATCAGGTTATGCCCGTGGTACATGCAAACGTCAAACATAATTTTAAATAATTCAATTCATCATGAATGAGGCAAAAGTTCCAGAAACTATTCGAAATAAGCCCAATCTTGTGAATTAGTAGGTATTGACATTTAATAATGGACGTTTCTTTTGAATTTGAGAGCTTTTGAAGGATTTTCTAAAAAAAAACACCTCCCAGTGCTTTCTATGTTCCTTCCTAGAAGCATTATAAATTCTGATAGACCTTTTGTTATAATAGTGTCTTTCTTGATCCTTGGTCTTATATTTCAATGATCATCTTATCTATCTTGCTGCGAACTTCCAACGGTCATATTTCGACAAATTAAATTGTCACAATAAGAAAGTTGCAAACTGCAATAGGTGATAATAGGTATTGATTTACCTTTACGGTCCTTAATCAATAAGCAGTAAATTAATTATCGCCAATAATTACCTACTCTGCAAAAAATTCAAATTGACAAGAAAGGTCATATGACTCATATGAGTTTCAAGTACGTTATATAATAATAATAATGATAATAATATGATTTATTGCCCAACAGAATAAAATTCCAATTATAGGACAATTACTAATCTAAGAAAGCACAATAACTAAATATACTAATATCTTAACCTCTAACCTATAAAAACCAAATTAAATGATATTAAACTTAAACAAGATTAAAAATAATGGTCGAGTAAACATTCAGATTGAATGGTTTGAAGCTTAAATCTTTTGCTTGTGCAGAGACGACTGCAGAAACACTGCATGTCGTAAGAGGCGACTAATCATTAACGTAATCGGAGTTGGACCAACAAAAACATGGGTGTGTTGTCCTATATGAAATTTATTCATCTACAGAATCACAATAATTTTGATCAGAAGACGCCGTAAATCTCATGGAAAAATATCACGTTTTAGGACATTCTGGTGAGATTTTTTCTAATTGGGAGGTGTATTAGTATAGAAATTGCTAATTCTGTGTGATTATTTCTTTTGGATCAATTTTCCTACTTATCACTCTTAACCTCATTTATAATTTTGTTTATTTGATGTATGCTTAGATTCATAGTCTAAGGATGTATGTATGTTCTCTACACACACACACACATTTTAAGTTTTACAGATTTGAGACCTCCTTTGATGGCTTTTTCACAACCTAATACTCAAAGAGGTAAAATATAACAAAATAATTTCTTTACCTTCACACTTCATCTATTGCAGAAATAGCAAACCGCAAAATTTTGGAGGATTTATACTTAAAAAAGCAGATTCTTCTTAAGCAAGGAGTTGCTTCATCTTTAAATCCACCCACAACACCAGCTGTTGCCTCAACTAATTCAACCAGCCCTGACGGACACACTAACGCCATAAGTTCGATGCAACGTGCTGCTCTTCAACAGGCAAATGCACAGTCGATGGGATATTTTATATCACAAGATTCTTCATTTGGAAACTGTGTTTTACCTGTTATTCCTCGTTTTGAGACGAAATAATTAGTACAATGTGGCCTTGTATGAAGTTGAGACATCTTGAAGAACTTTTACAACAAATTGATGGTTTTGATAATCCTAAACTACTCTTGGAGCAGTATGTTACCCCTTCGCACTTAGCTTCACATATGCTACATACGATTCAGGTGAAGTTTTGCTTTATGTCTCATTAGTTTTCAAATTAGAGATATTTTCTAGGCACATTATGGTGATATAGATAGTAAACTTATTGCAGACTTAGGGAGCGGTTGCGGTGGTCTGACATTAGGAACTGCTGCTTTGAATGCAGGTTTGGTGATTGGTTTCGAAATTGATGCAAATGCAATTCAAATATGTCAAAATAATATTAATGACCAAGAATTTTCAAATATTGACATCGTTCAATGTGATATAACGAGCAATTCATTTGTGTCACGGTATTTAACATGTAGTTAATGTATTCTGTGTTTGAAATGTCTAGTTTTAGTTGGTTTAAAATGTTTGACACTGTTATTATGAACCCACCGTTCGGAACAAAACATAATGCCGGAATCGATATGGATTTCCTTAAAAAGGGGTTTGCTCTTTCTAACAATGTGATTTACTCCCTACATAAAAGTTCGACAAGGTTAATAGCTTTACTGTAATTATGTTATTTGAAACAAATTTTTTAGGGCACATGTGTTAAAGTTTGCAAAAGCAAACGATGTTAAGGCAGAGGTGTTGGCTCAGTTAAGGTATGATTTGCCAACCACATACAAATTCCACAAAAAAGATTCGGTTGACATAGAAGTTGATTTTTTTAGATTTCAAGTATCGAAAAATCCATGATTTTTTTATTTTAAATTGTATAAAAATCAACGAACACAATTTGTTGTAATAAATATAATTATTCAAATTTGATTCCTTGCGCCAGCGGTAAATTCTTGGAATGGTTTATGGTTATTGTAGAGCGTCTCATATATTGTTTCCATGCGTCACTTCCAGATTCCCGTCCGCCTCCGGTGTGTTTTTCACCTCCAAATGCACCACCGATTTCAGCTCCTGATGTTGGAATATTTACATTGACTACACCACAATCTGAACCCTTAGGTCCTATCCACTACAACAAAAAATTATGTAAAATAGGTAAGATTCACTATGAGAAAATGTGCTTTCTAAAGAAGTGGTAAAGTACCCGAACTCAGGTGATTGGCTACAACATATTGTTCACTTGAGATTTTCAACATGTATAACACCAATGTGCTATATATCTACGAGGTGTCTGTGTGAGTTGGTCTGCACATGCGTCTCTATTTCTCATTTTTATTAAATGGGAACAGTTAACTATTGAATTTTTACTTTTATTTTTTTGATGATCAAAGATAACTGAAGGATAGTATAAAACAGCATACGCAAAATTAATTACATATTAAATTGATGTCGAAGAAGAATAAAAAATTCTTTAATTGCATAAAAATGAAATATATGATGCTCATCCCGAGGCTCATCCATTTAATAAAAGAAGGTTGTTATTCACATGCCAGTAACCACCATTATTAATTTCAGGTCAAAAGATTTACCTATTGAAATAAGTAATTCATATTAAAGTTTCCCTCATTTTTTTTTAATTGGCGTTTTATCCATATCTATCTTCAATAATACAAAATTTACCCAGATAGGCCCCAGATTGGGGCACTCTGTATGTACCTAAGCTACAATCTCATTGGTATTTGGATAAGGGGTCGGTAGAGTATGTTTGACTATCATAGCAGCTCTTAGGTATATCTATTTTTTTTGCAAGTATCTCTCTGATGCAGAATATACCACAGTCAAATCTTACCTCAAAAATGTTTCCAATACTCTGAGTAAATATACTAGAAGATAATCCTTGGGAAACTTCATTGTTCCATGAAATGCCTTCCTGCACATTTTCTGCTTTTAATACATACACAATGGGTGCAAAGCATTCTTCGTGTACTAATTTGTTGTCATGTTTTAATCCAGTAACAATTGTTGGCTCCACAAAATATCCAGGTCTGTCTATTTTCTAAAAAAATTAAATCTAGTTAATATTGTTTCAATAACATGTGACTCATACTTTGCCACCGAATTCGATCGTTCCTCCTTGTCTTGAAATTTCGGAAATTGTGCTTTGATATTTTTGTACGGCAAGTTCGTTGTGTAAGGGCCCAACTAACACTCCTTCATCCAGCGGATCTCCCACTCGATCAATTACTTGATGATACGCTTTTTTCAGTTTGGTGAGGAATTCGTCATACACCTAAAGGGAACACATAAATACTCATATAAAACTTGAATAGTTATTTGACTTCTAGCGAACCTGATACCGTCTGCTCGAAAGAGCTCATTGTGACACGTGAGGTGCATTAGAGGATTTTTGTCAAATATTTTTTTATTGTACTTTTGAGAGAACACATCGCAGTTACTAAGCACCCATAACCAGCAGGTTTTTGGGTTTAGATTGAAAGTGATTGATTATCTAAGTACCTAAATGTTCTTACCGATTTGTGTAAAATTAGCCTTCTTGTGGTGGTGCAACGTTGTCCCGCTGTTCCGACGCAAGCGAATAGACTAGCTTGAACAGCCATATTTATATCTGCATCATCTGCCACAATAATTGCGTTGTTTCCTCCAAGTTCCAGCAAATGTTTCCCAAACCTTTTTTGGACTTCCACACCAACCTAAATGACACGTTAGGTCATTTTCATGTAATAGAAGTGTCTGAGCAGCTTACCTGCTGACCGACTTTAGTACTACCAGTAAAAGACAACAACTTAATTCTATTGTCTGCTGCTAATGCTTTCCCAATATCACTACCGCCGCAGCATAGAGATGAAATAGCACCCGGAAGATTATTTTTTTCCAGCACCTTGGAAATAATGTTTGTGGTAGCCACTGAAATTAAAGGTGTTGTTTCGGCACTCTTCCATATTAAAGTATCACCACACACCTGAAAAAAAAACTGAAAAGAGTGTACAAGTTTTCATATAGTACCATTGCAAGAGCACTATTCCATCCATACACCGCCATTGGGAAATTGAAAGCTGTTATCACACCAACGATCCCAAGTGGGTTCCATTTCTCTAGAAGAACATGCCCCGGTCTTTCAGAAGGGTAAATTGCTCCAGCGAACGTACGCGAAAGTCCAACGGCATAGTCGCAAATATCGATAAATTCTTGCACTTCACCGATTCCTTCGGGCAAAATTTTTCCTAAAAATGGTTTTAGATATAATTATGAACAATTCTAGACATTTAGGTAATGAAGTACTTACCCATTTCTAAAGAAACCAGCTGTCCTAAGGGCAATAGTTGCTGCCTAATTGCGTCGCCGATTTGTCTAACAATTTCACCCCGTTTCGGGGCGGGTAAGTCTGCCCACACATTCCAAGCCTTTTCCGATTCTTTTACGCACGATTCGTAATCTTGTATGGTACCTTGATTTACATCGGCAATCACACGGCCGTTACTTGGACATACTGATTGAACGACCTAGACAATATATGCGAATGTTATTGTGGTAAGATTGAGGTGGTTTAGCTTTAGATCTTTAATCCAAAGTGTTGAAAACAGAAAAAAAAAAAGATATTTACCGGTCCTGATCCTTTCCACGTTCCATCGTATACACCGTAATTGACAGGTTTTAAACCCAGATCTTTGAGAAATGAGTACTTTGGATCGTTAATGAGATAGTTACTTGCGGAAGCCATTCCTCTGGAAGCAATTAGGGTGTTATATGCAGACAGTATATGCTTGCATCGAAATAAGGACATTGGAAACGATGTTACTTAATGCGCGTTAGCAACCAAACTGATAGTATGTTATCAGACCGTAAAATTCTATGACGTGCAAATTGATAAATATATCTATCAATAATTATCAGTTCTCTTCATAAGTGTACCACTTTATTGAAACTATATGCACATATCGTCCGCTTGTAGCAACGACCTTTCATACACAGGGTGCTATACTTATATTTGTACTGAGATATCATATATATATTGGTATATCTATTTACCATTAAGTACCAATACATGAGTGCACCCACAGCGCGAAATACGTGAATGAAAAATCTTTCACTGGGGTATTCTTTTTGAAGATGGTAGGTTAAACCATATATTGGGAGTTTAATATTCACTTTGGGTTTTACCCTAGGTTTCACCATTATAATCGTAGCAGGGTACATGCAGTTGATGATTAAAAATCTCGCCGATCTTTGCTTCTTTCTAGAGAAAACGAACCCACTTACTTAGTGCTAAGAATGAAGGTTGACGATCATGAACAAAGTTTGCGTCTAAATTGTGCCCCATTTGTATAGGCGGCGACGATTGAAGCCAAGGTGGCAGATGATTGAGGAATTTACAAACCTTTTTTGAAACAATTCAGTTGTGCATCAGCATAGTGTACTTACACTACGGCATCAGTTGTATTATATTGGTATATAGGTACATAGTGTAATAATATAGCTACTAATTTGAAATGCCACGATCCTTAACCCCCTGGGGTAGTACCCTGGATTTTGATGGGTCGATTATAGACAGTCGAGTCGGGTTAAATATCTCAGTTTGATACCACCCATTAGTTCGGTTAATCATACCCATGCGTGTGTCTGTTTTCGTTGTATTAAACCATTGAATAAAGATTCTTTACTTGCATATAAAGGCGATTATGACACTCGGAAGAAATTACAACACTCGCCTTTGGCTCGCAAACTTCACCTCGTGTCATAATCGCACTCTTTATATGCTCGTATAATATTATTCAGTGATCAAACATTTTTTAAGTGAAATTCACAGCCGGCACGCTGGTTTTCACCATGCCTCATCTAATACAAACGTAGCGTAGCAAGTAGTTACAGCAACTACATTTGTGGTACCCATTGACAGTGTCTGATTTCGAACACTAAGTACTTCCTTTTGTATGTAACACATGTAATAATTAAGTAGGGTTGGAGATTAGAGAAAAAGTCCGCACTTGAGTAAAGCTATGAAATTTGGCACCATATGATCTTCAACGTGGTGCCACACTCATCTACCCCTGGAACCCCCGAAAGTGTGGCGTGCTAAAATGACTGGACCATTTTACTAAGCTCCATGGTTGTGAAACACGTTTAGAATATTAGGAGTCGACTACTCTGGGGCACAAATAAGCCTAGTACCTAGATGTTGCTTATACATTTAGCCGAGGATTACCCAATTTTTATATATATTTCATTTTTTTCAGTGTTTTGGCTCCAAACTTGCATAATTACCAAAAAGGTATTAGGTAAGTAAGTACTTAAGTCACATGAAATTTTTATGGCACTCAGGGGTATACTCTGACTCCTTTCAGAGCAGGTAGCCTAACCTAACCCTTTGGGTACTGCTAAGTATAGGTGCGTCATTTACGGATTATTTAAAATTATGATTGGACTTTCTAGTCTCCCGCTGTGCTGTAGCTGCTTAGCAGCACCCCAAGGGGTAGCTAGTCAACCCACACCGAAAGGGCTCTGATTAGATTAGACCCTTTTTAGTGCCATAAAAACTTTATGTGACTTAATTACCTTTGTAGCTATAATTATTATAAAGTTTGAAGCTAGAACAGTTAAAAAACCAAACAAATACCAGATGATCCAAACTAACTGCATATAGTTTAAATTTGGCGCGTAAATTTTTTAGTTTTTTTACTTAAGGCATCAGATGATTTTTTACCTGATTAAAAGCTAGGTAACTTTTTTATCAGCGATTAAACGCTAGGTAGCTTTTTATCGGCGTAGGAATGCGTAAGACATATAGTGGTTGTAAAATTGACTGTCTTTTATTAATCTCCCTAAAATACACTCGATCTTGGTTTTAAATCAGGATAATTTTATTTTTAATTCACTCAAATTTTTGTTGCCTCCTAGAAAAAACTCGATCAAAAGCACATAATTCTAGTTTTTTCAGTTGTAACAAAACTTTCGTGTAAAAATCTCTGTAAAAATAAAATTATCCGATTAAAAATCAAGCTCTTGTGTATTTACTCCCGATTAAAACTTTAATACGCGAACGTTTTCGTAGACGAATGTTAGACACCGGATCCTTGAAATTCGTATGCGCAAAGATCATACAACCGAATTAAAATAAAAAGAGTATCTATTTTAAATTATTTGATACACCGTAAAAGTAAAAATGTATCTTGAACAATACTACATTTTAGGGGAAAAAAGGAGATCAATGCAACATTTTTTCAATCGTCGCCGTTGCCACAACTACCCCACACTGACACATTTCTGTGCAGGACTACCACGAAGGCTTCGCTTTTTTCGGCAATTAAACCACTCTAAATCGCCTCTGCCGAGCTGTGCAAAACCTTCAGTAGCATTGCACAGGAAAACCATGCCTTAAAACCCGAATTTTTTCCTTTTCGGGCGAAGGAGGAGACCACATCGCATCCTGTCAAAGCATGAACACAGGAAGTGCTTCACCCACAAACATCGATTCCTGGTATTTGGTGATAGAAGGATACTAAACGGACGACGTCCAATTTAAAAATTTACTGTCTTCTGATTGGCTAACGGACAAACGGAAACGTATAAACGGGAGCACACTGTATAACCAATGACGCGAAGCATGAACCCACCTTTATACGCTTTCTTAAATCGTTGAAAAGTTTTCCCTTTATCTTGTTTCCCATTATAGAACACAAATCTTTTAGAAAACAATTTTATTTATAAAGAAGTTTGATCTTATTTAACCATTTTCAATGTATATAACAGACATGAATGGTTAAGTAACGAATAAACGAATGCGGCTATTTAAGCATTAGCAATTAGGCGGTGTATTAGGTACGATGCCTACACTACCAACCACAGCAGAATTGCAGCTGGGCACAGAGTTTTTGTTGTGGTTTATGTATTTTTTTAGGATAAATCTGTTTCTTGGGGAACTGAGGATCTTGTTTTCTTTTTCGAGGAGTAGCACAAATGTTCTATTTTAGTGTGTTATTACAGATTTAAAATTTAATTTTATAAGGTTTAAATATCGATAAGTTGCAATATATACCTCTTGTTCTTCTTCCTATACAAAATTGTAAGATGAACATTTGTAGGCTATGTTTATTTGAAGGAACAGAGGAAGAAGTGTGTTCAATTTGGGAAAGCGAAATTCAAGATTTAGCTATGAAAGTTAATGAATGTGTCTCGATAAATGTAAGTAACTTGGCTCATCCCCTTGTCGATACATTTCCGATGTTTTAGATAACACGAGATGATAATATATCAAGTAATATTTGTGCATCTTGCATTCATTATGTAACACAGTGGGAAATTTTTAGAAATATGTGCCATAAATCAAATGAGGTACTCATTAAAGCGACGATTAAAGATATTGAGGAAATATCAACAAAAGATGAAGACATTGAAATTGAAAGCCCTCTCTCAGATACTGCAGTTATTTATAAGGACAAGTCTGATTCTGATTCCGAGGAAGAGTATTTGGAGAGTGAATTTATTGTGAGTGTGCGTTTAAAGTGTGCTCGTCTACAATTATAATTACAGGAGTTTTCAATTAAAGAAGATCTAATTACAACTGAAAATGTGTACCAATGTCATATTTGTTTTATTGAATTTGATAATTGTTTTCAATATTTGGACCATCAAATAACTCATAATGGAGAACCGGTTTTTCAATGTGACAAATGTTCTGATGTAAACATGTGCATTTGGTCATGCTTTACATTGTACAAGCCTGTTTCAGGTCTATGCTACAAGGGAGCAGTTGGTTGAGCATGATAAAAATCATCGTACACCTTGTCCTCATTGTGGAAAATTGATCTTGAAGAGTAGCATGAATTTACATTTAGTGAAACACTCAGATCGGTTTCGGTATGCTTTTACAAATAGTTTCTGAGCAATGAAATTAAAGTCTGCAACATAGGTAACCAATGTAACTGCCATGTACATGCTTTGTCCATGCATAGTTTCGAAAGTTGATTTGTTTTTTGAATGTGGACATCATGGCATTTCAGAGGAGTTCAGTTGAGAGAGAAGAGCGAACATTAGAATAAAGTAGACTTCGCTTTTAGGAAACTAGCATGCACAAAGTAATGGTATGTTGTAAATCTATGCTGTAGAGTTTACTTATTTCGCTCTCATTTAATCTCTGGAACTGTACATGTAACTTTAATTAAAATTTTAGGTGTACACAGTGTGGCGGACGTTTTAATTCAAATGCTGCTCTCGCACAACATACCATAACTGTTCACACTGATATAAAAGATCACATCTGTGAAGTCTGTGGAAAGAGGTTTTCTTCTCAAACTGCGATGAGAGTGCACATGAAATCACACAGTGATGAGCGTCTATATCCTTGTAAATTATGTGATTATGCTGGTCGGACTGCTTCTGCAATTTATGTTCATATGTCTACACATGCTAATGACATGTGTGTATGTGAGGTGTGTTCGAAAACATTTAAAAGTAATCGCAATTTGAATGATCACTTGCGTAGAGTACATACAAAGGAAAAGAAGCACACTTGTTCTTATTGTGATAAAAAATTTGTTGATAGATATATGTTAAGTGTCCATATTCGATGCCACACTGGTGTTAGACCTTATCAGTGCAATTTTTGCAAAAAGTCATTTATTAGGTCTGATGGGTTAAAAGAACACATTGCAATTCATGGACAACGGATTATGCATGACTGTAAATTGTGTGGTAAAAAGTTCACTTCTAAACGAGGCTTGACAAGGCACAGTTGTATTTCTGTGGCGTAAAAATAATGTACGTACTATGTATGTATGTGTCTACTTTTTAATAAATAGGACTGTATATTAAAGACTGAATTATTGTTTTGGTTTTATTCTATCAATAAATTTATCTGAATTCAATGCATTTAATTGGGTACAATAACAATAAAGTGCCTATAACAATCATTTATCGATCTTCCTTAACGTTCTGGTTCTTTTCATTGTTACATTACACTGTCCCGTTAATTATGGATGATGCTTTTCAAAAAAATCCATTTACAATTTTTATTATAGTGATTTATACTCTAAGTATATTATTCCGTTTTTTGGCAATATTCACATTGCTTTTATTCATAAAAAAGGATTGACCGTCTGTAGACGTGAAAATAATGCCTTTAGTTTATCTGTCGACAAATCCAACCACAAGAACTTTTTTCTTTCCCATAACTTTCCCCATAGACATGTAGGAGTTAGCCTGGACGATTTTCATTAAACAAAATTAATCTTTGTTGCTATGGTAACAGCTGTGACATATAGATTGTCTAAATTTGACATTTAGACCAGGAGGCAGCGTCTTAGACCATATAGTACATGGATTGCTATTAGCCCTATGCTTTCAATACAAAATGGGTGGTCACGGATAGAGGGCACTGTAGTCGTGGGTATGTGAATCTCAGGGTAAACTCCACCACTCGGATCGCGTAAAGAGTAGCTTTTATTGTAACCGCGTAGTACGGGAAGCTTTAATAGTTATTTACGTTATAAGTCCGGTAGGTTACTTGTAACAGTACGAGTTAGACATTATGGACGAGGCGACGTCAGGAGCCGAGTCAAGAATGTCTTAAACGAGTACTGTTACAAGTACTACCGGACGTATATCGTAACGTATTTTATTTCATACTGTAAGTCTGTTTTGTATCATTATTTCATTTCAAAGATTACAAAATTTCATTATATTGTAAAATTCGCATTACCTTGTTTCTTTGGCAACGGCCATTGCTATAGTTTGTAGTTTGTGGACATTGAATTTTTTTCACTGAAAAATTGACGCTATAAACGTTGTGGGATGTTCCACTGTTCCCGATACAATCCTGTCGAAATCTCATGAAGCAACCGAAAAGTTGGTTCCTAAGAAGTCGGCCGCAAGGTATGAAAAAGAGTACTAAGTGTTTTGCCAATTGAGGAACGAACATGGGGCGAAACAAGTAGAGGAAAACGTCATGTTGGCATACTGTTTGGATGCAGTAAGTTTTTGAATTTTTTTGCCTGGGTTTCGGTGTTAAAGCGTCATGGGGCATGGAAAAGCTCATCGACGGCAGAAAAATACATCGAAGGCTCGGTAGAAGGAAAAGTTAAGATTGCCCGTATGATACAACTGATACAAGGCGGCGAAAATTTCATTGAAGTTCTACAGCAGAAGGAATCAAACATTACTAACTCGACATCCAGTAATAACCCAGGCGTTAGTGTTGAGGGCAATACAAATTGTTTCATTACAATCAATGTTAATGTTTGAAATAAAGAATTACAGCCAAATTTATGTTGGGGTTTTTAATTAATTGTGTGAAGATGTAGAATTTGATGTAAACAAGTAACAGTCCGGTAAGGTAAGTGTTGCTTAGCGACACTTACCGGCTCTGATGCTGTAATAACTCACCTACCGGACTCAAAATGATGGTGTAATCGAACATCTACCGGAGAGTATGAAATAAATATTCTTGATTATATTCTATACGTCCACAAATAAGAACAGGTTTGCTTTTTTTGCCATATCTAGGCGATTAATTAATTGACGTTTGTTAATTTATAGGTTGACAGTCTCAAATCGTGCCTAATCGGACAACTTCGGACAGACTCGTTTACCCTGAAACTCACATACCCAGGCGATGTCCTTGACTATATTTTAGTTACATTTAGCAGTCCATGTACTATATGGTCTAAGGGCAGCGTACATAGTAACTATAAACCATAACTAATAACTAACCATGGTTTAGTTCATAGCAATTTGGGTGAATGCCACCGAAAAATGTCTGACCTACAATCCGTCTGATTGAAGTGATTGGAACTATGTGAATGTGAAGTTTAGAATCAAATGGTTTGAAGGATCTCGGTAGTCAGTATCCTATCGCTATCTCTGTTGGTTATGCACACGCTCGTACTCGCTGGGATATACTATACCTAAACTTTTTAACTTCGTCTGCCACTGTTAAAGCTACACTTAATATCGTCTGCCAGGATATATTTTAAGTAGGTATAGTGACAAAAAGAGGAACTTTTATGTATAATTTTTATACGGTCCTCATGGTTTAGTTCAGGGGTGTTTTTCCTTACAATGAAGGGTGTCTGTGGCCGCCAACGCTTCACTTGAAATCGTCTGCCATAGCATATTTGAAAACTACTTATGGGAAAAATGGTATTTCTTTATATAAATCTTTTCCGTGACCCTTATAGTTTAGTAATTTAGTTGATCACCTAAAGAAGTCACTTTATATTCAGCGCCGCCCCATGTTAATGCTGCCACTTACGACTGGCAGACGAGTGATTTTATTTCTAGTTTTCAACATACTTTTAGCCTACGTATTGTCTAATATTTTGTCGCTTATGGTTTAGTTACTATCATAATAATACCTACTATGGTTACTATATGTACGCTGCCCCCCGGTCTAATTGAAAAGGTTAATAATTGTATGCTGTTATAGCCTAAGAAACGAAATTTAAAATAGTACAAAACCTAGCAATTTTTTCAAAATGCATCGATTTGCATAAAAATTTCGGTTAATATACTCTCAGACTTTTCCCGCCTACCACACGGATTTAAACAAATAGTACAACTTACTCCCTCTAACAATAGTAATTAAAAGGCATGCGCAATAAATCGCGTATGCGCATGCACAAAACTCAACTTCCTTATTTATGGAGCAATTTGAACGAAATTTTGATGGTTATCGCCCTCTAATAAAAGGCAAAAGCAAATAAAATGCATGAGCAAAAAAACGCGTTGCCCATTCAAATACTAACCAGGAGCAACGTTGCTTGACTAATAAATGAATGAATTATTGGTAATAATAATTATAAGTAGGTATTAAACACAAACAAAAGTTGGTTTGAGCTAGGAAGCTGTTCTGTCAAGAATTTGGCACCTGATTTTTGTACAATAGTGGTAACAGGGCCGTCTCAAGCATATTCTGCCCCGGGGTGCAAAAGGTCAGCCTGCGCCTCCCTATCAATAAAAAAATACAATGTGATGTTTGGGTTTCATTTATTTATTTATTAATCTCAACTCAAAGAAGAAAAAATCGCAATACGTCAATACACTATATTTAATTAAGTGGTACATACATCAATGTCAATATTGTAACGGAAACGCTCCAGACATGACGTCGCCTTTGGCGCTCTGGAATTTTCTACGCGCGCGATAGTGGGATTTGTGTAGGAATATTCGAGAATGTACGCGGATGTTCTGGACTTACATTGCTTGCGTGTATAAATGGTTGCGGACCGAACATCCGGGGAGTCTACTATCGAACGAGATCGAGTACGTATGAAACATTGAGCGCGAAAATCTGATGTAAATTGCGAAGTGTGTGATATAAATAATCGATATAAATTGTACGGTTTTTATAGTGTTTTAGTTTTGTTTAATAAATATTGATATAAATCGAACCCGAATTTATAAATCACGTTACAATATTTCGAGCTTTTGAATTGGCAAAGTTTTTAATTATATCGTGCATTAATTTCAGATTTTATGCTAATAATGGCCAAATTTGTCAACCTCTCTGGGGTCATAGTGGACCGTAAATAGTTTTTAATTAATTTTAATTTGGAAAACGACCTTGCGCCTTCAGCTACGGTCACTGGAAGTGAAGAATATCTTTTTTAAGTGGTTTCCGCAAATGTAATCATAATCAAATAATATAAATGCAATTAATAACAAAGATCGACGTCAACATTAGCTACAGATACAGACTATTTTGCTGAATGCGACATATTTTCAGAACATAAAGTAATTGAAAGTCGTAATAACAGCTGAATTACCTTGCACATCGTAACTCAGCGGTATAAGCGATATAACACATGCCGAATGCGCCTTTGCGTATTTGTAAAAATGTATTAATTTGTAGTATCACGATCCCTTAAGGCCCTGCGCCCGGGTGCCCTGCACCCCTTGCACTCCCGGTAAAGACGGCCCTGCAGCTGCTTGCTAGTTTCAACTTTTGTAGGTAAATTTCCTTTCAGGTGGGAAATGGGCGATAGGTACATTAGGTAGGTAACATAAAAAATGCTTATTAAAAAATTTCGTCTATATATTCATTGTTATAGGTATGTAGGTACGTATACAGATACATGTAATTTAAAAAATAGGTACATATCGTTATATTTTTTACATAAGATAGGTAGTAGTAGTTTAAGCCGTAGGTAAACAAAATTATAAAACAGTGCTTCACAATAGCACACACAAGGCACACATTCAACATATTATATACGCTATTTCTGCTACTTACAACATTTACCTAAGTAGGTAAGATTAACCAAAACGTATAGCACCTATATGTGTATAGGTATGTAAGTACCTTCTAATATCTTACTACAGCTACCCTGCATACAGAAATAGTTAATTTATATTGGACCACTTCCAATGTGAGTTGAATAAATCTAATTAATAAAATACTTCAATATGTGATAAGGCCTCAGTTACAAAAAGAGACCACCATACAGTCTTCAGTTGTGGCAATTTTTAACATATACCTACGATTTTAACAGGCGAATTTACTTACCTATATAAGGCGATTACATATTTTAGTGTTTCTACATGAACAGTTTTCATATTGGTAGGTATTAAGGTGGATAGAGTAAAAGTAAAACAAAGTGTAAAAGTCTACTTACATGTCTCATAGTTACTTATAGGACTCACTGTGGAATTGGCGTACCTATCTGTATGTTTAACAGAAACAAGATAATTTTAATGTGACCGTTTCCATTTGAGAATTGAGCTTTTAAACCATGATTTGCAACCTTAGCAGCCATTGTAAAAATTTTATTTCACACCGCCAATTTCTGTCTCTGCACAAGGAGACGCAGGGAAAAAGCTGTCTTTATAGAAAAATTACATTGTCTTAAATATTACATTGAGACAAAGAGTAACTAGTATTCTTTGATTGGGATATAGTTTAATAATTATATAAGTATATATAGGTTACCTACAATGATTGATAATAATACATTACACCGATTTTAGTTTTAAAAGGCTGTTGTGGCTGTATACCCATCCCTTTAATGCCCCCAAAAATGTTTAGACGGCAATTATAATTTTATCTTTTCTGTATAAAGTTCTCAAAAAGTCGCCAAGTTTGTCAGAACTTTATAATGGACGCGAACAAACCATAATTGTCTCTAAATTTTGGAATAGATTTTAATTAATTAATCGATAATACATTTTCTAACTCTAATTGATCTTACATGTTTCGTCCCTTCGTAATCCTTCGTAATCATAATCATTATTATTTGTTGTGTTTGCATTTTCATAGTTTGCGCACTAAGCTACCTGCATATTGAGTATCTGTGCGGTACTTCTCTGACTAGAATTTCAGAGGCGCACCAGATTCGTACTTTTGCACGGCAAGATATTGAGGGACCTGGCCGCTTTTAAAGTCTCCAAAGATCTCTTAAGGACTACTACAGGTTGTATCAGTCTCATAAAAGGCTCTTGGAAACTTTTGGAGGTAGGTATTTGAAAACCTAACAGTGATTACAGTAGTCTCAAAGATTCTTAATGACCCATAAAAATTCTTAATAGGCCAGTATTATGACCGTTTTGCCGTGTAATTTTTCGCGCCTCGACGGATTAGCTTCAAAATTTGGATTTAGGTTCCTCTTACCCTCTACTTCAAAGGTGAACTTGAGCCCAGGGTTGCTTTTACTTGGGGGGTGAATGCCACCCCTTCTCGGGGGGAAAAAAAGATACGTTCAAAATAAGTTCGAAAATTGATAGGTAAATTGAGTAATCCTAAGCAACTTTTGTTCTCTAGAGTTTTTTCACTAAGTCAATAGTATTAGAGTTATTTGCGAGTGAAAATGTTCCTTTTTCAACAAAAAAAACCACGTTTTCAGACGGTTTTTCGCAAACAACTCTAAAAGTAAGTATTGTATCGAAAAAAGTATTCTTAGCAAAAATATAGCTTATAAAAAAACAAACAAAATGGTCTATATATGAAGTCTGTAGACCCAGTAGAAACAAAGTTGTAGCTCCTGAAAAGTAGGTTCTCATTCGTCAAATTCCAAATCGAGTACTTCAAAGTGAAGTAACCAAAAAATGAAGCACTTTTCGGGGAAAACTTATGAATACTTTTTTAAAGTGTTTGAAAAAACCTTTCTTTTTGTTTTTAAGAAAAGTTCCTAGCATCAAAACTAAGTGAGTTACGCTCAAAATAAAGTTGGTCCTTTTTTTTTGGTAAAAAAAATTGAGGAAATCACCCCCTAATTAGCACCCTAATTGTAATTAGGCGTTACCGCTTTACAGTTTATTTTATTTATGTATGGTTGATATGATCTGTAAGTTTGACCGGAGCAAAGTGGTTAGTTATGAAAAAAATGTAGTTTTGAAGTAAAAAAAAATTTTGAAATTTTGAAAAATTGCCTACTGTAGTAAACTAAACTAATACACTAATAATTATGCGGGTCACTCTGTAATTGGGCGCATGCCTGTTGAGGGCCCAAAACAAGAGAGGGATAATAAAATAAAAATAAAATTATTTGGCAAAAAAAGGCAATTTTTCAAAATTTCAAAATTTTTTTTACTTCAATACTAAATTTTTTTCAAAACTAACCACTTTGCTCCGGTGAAACTTACAGATCATGTCAACCATACATAAACAAAGTAAACTGTAATTAATTACAATTAGGGTGCTAATTAGGGGGTGATTTCCTCAATTTTTTTTTCCAAAAAAAAAGAACCAACTTTATTTTGAGCGTAACTCACTTAAAAACAAAATGAAAGGTTTTTTCAAACACTTTAAAAAAGTATTCAAAAGTTTTCCCCGAAAAGTGCTTCATTTTTTGGTCATTTCACGTTGAAGTACTCGATTTGGAATTTGACGAATGAGAACCTACTTTTCATGAGCTACAACTTTGTTTCTACTGGGTCTACAGACTTCATATATAGACCATTTTGTTTGTTTTTTTATAAGCTATATTTTTGCTAAGAATACTTTTTTCGATACAATACTTACTTTTAGAGTTGTTTGCGAAAAACCGTCTGAAAACGTGGTTTTTTTGTTGAAAAATGAACATTTTCACTCGCAAATAACTCTAATACTATTGACTTAGTGAAAAAACTCTATAGAACAAAAGTTGCTTAGAATTACTCAATTTATCAATTTCCGGACTTATTTTGAACGTATCTTTTTTCCCCCCCGAGAAGGGGTGGCATTCACCCCCCAAGTAAAAGCAACCCTGGGCTCAAGTTCAACTTTGAAATGGAGGGTAAGTAGAACCTAAATCCAAATTTTCATGCGATTCGGTGGAGAAGCGGAAAATTACACAGTATCGCCGTATTCCACGTTCATTTACTGGCCTATAAAATTATTAGAAATATAAAGCTGTTACAATTTGATTATTAACATAATTTTAAAAAACCGTCAATAATTAAAAAATAAGTAACTTACTTAGTCAAAATTGGTTAAAATTACTTTTTACTTACAGAGACTTTTTCTATAATTTCCGTAGCTATTCTCTCTATTCAAAATGAAAAGAGTTACGTTATATCTCCTACTTTTCCATCCCAAAACAATATTATGGCTGTCTCATTACTGTTATACAATTTTTGGTATTAAAAGAAAACTATTTTCATAATCCACAGACGCCCTTGATCATCAGGGCTTTGGAACGAGAGGCTGCTAAAAAATTTCCAGGGTCTCTGTAGCCAGAGAATGGGAATGTAATGAAGTAATTAGGAATGAAGCTATAAATGCTGAGCGTAAAAGACTGCTCCAGCATTTCCCTCTTAGTCATCATGCAAAAATGTATCTACCTGTGTATGAGCATGTTTTGATCTTACAATTTATTTCGTAAGAACAACTATATACAATCTATATAAGTGTAATAAATAATGTTTTGAAGAGGAAAGAGTGGGATTTATTTTTCTATGGAGTCAGTTGAAATATGTACTTAGATTACTTTTCAGTAACACTTGTACGAAACTTTATAGATTTTCAATTTAAATGTGGAGATCAAAACTTGATAGTTTCCGCAAACTGGCATTTAAAAATGAGTTTGTTTCATGTTTTAATTGCATCATGAAATTTTGTAAAGAAACCTGATTCGGATTTCGCACCCTGAAAGATCATTAGGACATTTCGAATGCCTGTTCTATATTAGTTTCAGTTATATTAGGACTTAAATGTTTTTACGATAATATACTCTATATAAAAACAAAATACATTTTAAATGTATCATGTGGAACAACATTCTCTATTGTACTATTAACATCACAAGCTATTAAAATAATAATAATAATTTTTCCTGTCTCAGAGTAAATTTCTAGGAATTACCTAAGTACTGGTACCTGAAACAATGTTTTCTAATTCTTTTTTGTCTTCAATTTCAATATCTTCATCTCCGTAACCCCAAAGATGCGTTTCTATATGAGTGCCGTCTCCTGATTTCCTTGCTCTTCTGGATATCATTTCGGGAGACGCGTACTTCAAATCGTAAGCCCATCCTAATTTGGCAAAAAAATCGATAAATTGCGTAGATAAGTTAAGTCGACTTCCAAATTCGCCAGTTTTATAATCCCAAGGGAACACGTGGTGGTAGTTATGCCAACCTTCACCTAACGCAGCAATGGACACAATCATATTCTCCACTGGATTGATGTCCCTGCAAAAAGTTGTCAGCATTGTAGACTTAACTTTGATATGATATTACTTGTCATAGGGTTTATACCCCCACATATGTGCTAGACTATTTACACAAAATGCTATATTTAATGTTATACAAAATCTTGTATTAAAACAAATCCAAAAGGAATTCCATATTGTCTCTTCCCAAAAATACACCGGAATTGCTACGGGAAGGCCAACTGTTAGTAACAGAAATAATATCGGATAATACCTAAAAACATGTTATGAGTCTATCACAGGTTTAGGCGCCCTTACCTTTTCTGCCACATTACAATTGGATCCGCCTCAAGATCACTCATGTCTATTATTTTTCGTTTTTTTACAACATGTGGGTGTGGAGTTAGCACCAGCCAACCAACGTGAGAGAAAAAGAATCCTCTTTTGGCATTATGCGGGTCTGATGTTGTTTCGCTATACTTATGATGGACACGATGATCTAGCGCCCACGCATAAATGTGTTTCTGGAAATATAATATAAGGCATTCATTTAAATAAATAAAAAATAAATTTAAGTGGGATTCTACAAATAGTGAACCTATTTGTTCATTTTGAGTTCCTCAACAATCCCTTTTTTAAACCAAACTTTTGAGGATGGAAAATTTTGAAATTCAATTTAATTTGGTAAGAAAACCTTTGTGTGAAACATCAGTTAAAACTTCATTATTGAAGGCCATAGCGAATGGAATACTTTTTACGGTAGTGGTCTCTAGTTTTAAACCTAGATAGTGATCTCTATATGCTCATAATAGGTACAGAACTAACACGCACAACGCGGTATATCGATTTAATATTGTCGGCACTTTCGTTATTTCTTGTATTGTATAAATTATAAGGCCAACTTTTGATAACCTAGTTTTTCCATCTGTCTCCATTATGTCTTAATAATGAGATATCGTTTAAATTTTAGATTAAAAATTTACATAACAACCCTAAACTATAGGCGTGCACATGTCATTATATTTTTTACCGCATTCTCCAATAACGAAGTTGGTGCGCTATTGCACCCACTTTCTCTGTTCGTCCGTCTGTCCAAGGCCTAAACTACTCCTACAGTTTTCAATATACAGGCGGGTGCCCATTATGTATGGAATATAGTATATATCTCGGTAAATATCGAATGTATATAAAATTTTTCTGTATGAAAGTTGTACATTTTATTTCCCATAATAAGGCAGCATTATTTGTTTTTATTTCAGAAAACAAATGAGTAACGAAAAACAATTGAATTTGTTTAAATGGCAGTGCACCTTTTCATTATGTTCATTTGGTAGAGATTTCTTTTCTCTTTTCGATGATATAACATGTTAGTACCTTTATTCCTTAATTATCCCTTACTTATTTTAGAAATAAAGTCTATTTAGGTTTTTTGTAGAGAAATTCGTAAATATTATTGTTTCCTATTTTATAAATTCAGAAACAGTCAAATTTTAAAAATCAAAAACTGTGTGTTGATAAAGTCGGTAATGCCATGGAATTATGAAATCAAACAAAAGCGCCCGCATTTGCCATTAGTTTGACGTTTATTACTTACTAAGAGCGTTGTTTGATCTCAAACTGCCATGGCTCCACCGATTTTCTTAAAAACGCCAGCTTTTAGTTATCCAATTTCTTAGTTTCAAAGTTTAAAAAATAATAGCTATATAGCATGCATGGATTCGTATTTTTTTCTCTACAGAAAATCTAAATAGACTTCGTCTCTAAAATAGTTAGGGAAGCCAATAATCAGAAATGAAAAAATTACTGTTGAAATTCCTATGGTGCGTTGTTCAAGTCACCACCCGTTATATCCTATATTGTAAAATTCAAATGGGCCATGCGCAAATTGTGCATGGAAAATTCGTTAGTTACTCGCCTTAGGGTAAAAATCTTTTTTTGCGCGATCGGTCATTTCTGTCTATTTACCACGTGTTTCCATGACAGTAGGTGGAATTTACCAGTTGCTATAATTACGACGACGCCAAAATTACTTATCGATCTAAAATAACAGAACAGCAAAAATACTTATCGACGCCTTTTTAAAAACAATCAGTTCAAAATCAACAGTCTTACATTACATTTAATCTTTAATTATTGTTACGTTAAACGTATAATTTGTGCTGTTGTTTCCCATAGAAAGAACACGTAGAACACAATGACGTAGACAGATGCCATGTAGGTACAACATTGCAATCTCTAATCCCATATGTACAAGGAGCTCTGACTTGCAGAAATTATTGAGGGAGCAATCCATAAAACAACAAAAATAATGGCTATTGCTACTAGTAAAAGAAATGGTGAAAGTTATTTTTAAATTTGCAGGTATACCAAAAGCTTAATAAATCACGTAAAAACAGTATGCACCTTTTAATTCTGAATAACTTTAAACTCTACAGTTTTTTCTCTAAAATGTACAGGAGGGCAGGATATTGCATAAAACTAATTTTCCATGTTAAATCCCTATGTTCCTACTAACCGTGCACCACCCGGTATATCTTTTATGAACAGTCTCTATGTTGTATATTCTCAATATCTACTATCCTTCATATCTTGGAGATCTTTTGGGTTACATAAAAGCTGTATACTACCATCTGAAGTGAAACAGTTTGTAAATTTCACATATTTTTTAAATCTAATTTACTATACAATTAACAATTCCAAATTCCCTAACGTTGTTACATTTTTAATCTATTTTGTTAATCTGTTATTTAATTAAGTACATAATTAAATCTCGGGAAAAACCTAGAGAAATTTTTTGATGGTGCGCAATCCGTTCATGTATTAAATTTTGATGTGAAAGTATAAACATGCTTAATTCAACCTTTTATTTAATAGATTAATTAATTTTCCACTTTCACCTTGTGTGGAAACGGGGAAGAATGTTTTCACGAAGCTTAGCAGCACTTCGCTTTAGCACCCTTTGTGTATGCGGGTAAATATCTCATTTGATTTTACCTGTTCGGGTGTTTTTAGCGCATTTCCACAAACATAAAAAAATACGTGTCCAGGAATGGATTTTTACTTGTGGACCAATTTTTCCGAAATTTTAACAGAAGATCCAAAAAAGTAGTCAGACACTTTGCGTATTGACCCCGTATCTCAGAAAGAAACGTGGCTAGATTGATTCTGCTTGTGGTATTAAAAGTTTCAGAAAAAGGTGGCATAAGATCGCGAGAACCACAAGTCTCTATCTTTAAAAACAGCGAGATACACTGCAGTCTCGACCAAAATAGAACACGCGGTACATGGAAAAATTACATCTTTTCCAGAAAAAGATGAATATGACAATGAAGAAGTTATGCAATTCAATTTTCTCAGATATTCACGGAAAATTAAAAATACCTTCATATGATCTTAAAATTATCAGATCTAAAATTAGCTTCAGCATGCTTGTCTGCGTCTTTTTTGTCATATATTCCTCGTAATGTTTTCCCTTTTCACAGTCTAGTCACATCATACACACCTTGAGACCAAGGATCGGGAACGGACCCAAAGTACCGAAAACCGTACCGGAACCATTTGTCTTTTCCAAACCGAAACCAAAGAATATATTAGTTACTTTGCCGAAACCTTAATTATATCCTTGAAAAAATTACTAAGAACCGGAACGTATAATTTACGGTACGTTTTTTCCGGTTCTGAGTTTGATATGGCTAGTCTATCGAACATTCACAATGGGAAATAATTCCGGTGTTCGGGATACTCGCTACAATATATTGTAGTCCAGTAAGAATAGACCAAAAAAAGTGCAAATAGGGGAACTAAATCATGTATTACTAATTCCTTCGGAACTATGTAGCAGAAGAAGATACGCTGATCTTCATATAATAAGTCTCCCCGACTACCGGGTGCTAGAGGGGTGAGGGGGGAGACTGTGGCTTTGATGGTTACATTTTATAGTTTTTTACTTACAATTCGAAAACGGTGCGTCTTAGAAAAAAATTCCTTTCATATAAATACAAACTCATTAAATTTGCTACAATTTTGATTATTAATACAGTGATATTCATGTAGAAGTAGACATAGGGATTTCCTATAGGAATTTCCTGTCTACTTTTACATGATAAAACGTCTCCTGAAAGACGCCTAATTTTATGCAACCAAAATATCTTCTTGAAACAAATAAAGATCTGGCTGTCATATTAATTATTAATTTGATTATTTTTCACATTTAACAGTCGACCAATGAAAACGCCGTATTCAAAGCTACTGGAGAGAATTATTTCGGATATTTTTCGGATATACCCCTGCTTGTTGCTAGGCAGCGAAAAAATTTTTGAAACAAATAGCAACCCATGTCTATAAAGACATTTGTTTAACAACGCTTAGTAATCGTAATTTTGACGTTTGTAAGTTAATACAAGTTTAGTGCAACATTTTCTCTAAAATGAGTCGTTTCGGTGTAGAATCGCTACAAAATATACAAGAAAAAACTAAGGAAAATGTGCCGTTAAACACCATTAAAACGAAAAACATGGTTTGGAAACAGTTTTCTTCCTTTTGCGCCGACAGGAATTATGAATTAATGGAAACCACTTCAAATGAACAACTCGCTAATATTTTAACAGATTGGGCTTTCAACATGCGAAAATCGAACGGAGAAAATTATAAAGAAAATGTAGTGAAAACTATGTGGAACCAGACTGCAAAAATGATACAAGATAAGTACTTCAACGAATTCAACAGAGAGATTGACCCATTCAAAAACCCAACTTTTAAAGTAGCTAGGGATGCGAGAAATGCGAAAAGGCGCACACTTCAGACCGATCCAACCAAACGTACCACCAGTTCAACGGCTTTGGACAAAAAAGACATAATAGCTATGATGAACGTCTGGAACGAAAATACACCAGAGGGATTGCAACGAAAACTATTTATTATCATTTCCGTGGAATTGGCTTGGAGGGGTAATGAAGGACTAACGGCACTCGTGCATCACTTTAAGGAGGAATTGGGAAACGATGGTATTTATACTGGTAGAATTGAATACAATCCTGTGTTCACAAAGACAACACAAGGTGGAGAACGGAAGTGCGCAAATAGTAAGTGGCTAATTGCAAACGAAGAGGCTCTCAATTACTGTCCGGTAAGGTTGTTAAAGAAGTTATTGTCTTTTCGAGGTAAAAATATAAAGACGGACCGTTTATTTTTAACTGTAAACCCCAATTGGAGAGATTTGCAAGGTGTTGGCTGGTACAAAGACGTTCCTGTAGGAAAAAATGTTATGGGAAAATGGATGAACGATTCTGCAAAACGCGCTGGGCTTAACACTACTGACAAGAAAATAACGAACCACTCGAGCAGGGCCACTGCTGTATCCACACTTGCAAAATCTGGAGTTGGGGAGCAGCAAATTATTAAAATTACCGGGCACTCCAATGCCAATTCAATAAAACCATACTTGCAGCTAAATAAGGAGCACCATGAACAAATATTAAAGAAAATGCGGCAAGATCCTACATCTACAGTTGAAATGAATTCGGCTACCTCCACAAGCTATAATGCCCCTAAAACAAGCAATAATGTCTACAACAACTGTACCTTCAATTGTACTAATCTTTACTTAAATTAATTGTATGCAATCTGCAGTTTTTTAATTGTGTAATGTAAATAACTTAATGATTATTGGTGATAAATTATTAAATTTCAAATAAAAAATCTTGAAACTAAGACAAGAATTGGTGAAGTGGTTTACTTTCCAAATTTGAAAAATAATCTAGCCAAATACCCCTCGAGCATCAAAATTAATCGAATATTTCCCTTTTGTTTGGCTGCATTGCAACGGGCGGTGTCAAATTTGTCACCACACCGTTGCTATGCAACCAAACTTTCGGGAAATATTCGATAATTTTGAAGCTCTCGGGGTATTACTACTGAATATTGTTGCTTTAGCTTCACAGAAAATAAATCTAGGATTGGTTGAAATTTGACGTTTTGTCAAATTTCCACTAATCATATGTCTTAATCCATTGCGTTAATTTAAACGAAGTTTAAACTGCGTTTGTGCAACCGGCCCTTAAGCTCCTTTAACTGTTATCGGCACTATAGCAATTGGAAATATCAACTTTTTCTTTAGTTGAATACAGCGCACACGAACCGAAATTCGAATAGGGAAGTCAACGCGATAATATTCAAATTAATTAATATGGCAGGCAGATCCCCATTTGTTGTAGGTAGTTACTTTGGTTGCATAAAATTAGGCGTCTTTCAGGAGACTTTTTATCATGTACGCAGGGATCTGGACCTATTGCAAATAACGGTTCCGGTTCTGACATTTTTAGCGGGAAAATATTTGTAACGGTTCCGGTCCGGGTTCCGGTTCTAAACATAATTGCGGTTCCGGTTTCGATTTTTTTTTTCGGTTCAAACGGTCCGGACCTATTGGAATAACGGTTCTGGTTCACATTTATAACGGTTCTAGTTCTAAACGTAATTGTGTCCAATCTTTTTAACGCATTTCCAAGGAAAGGGGGCGCTATTGTAGCCACTTTCTCTGTCCGAGGCCTTAACTACTCCTACAGTTTTCAAGATATTTAGTTCATTGTTTTTGCATTTGGTAGTTTATGGCTCTAGCACCTGAGCCAAGAAAAATCTAGACGATTAATGTGCGATGCGCAGGCTGCGCATTATCAACATTCTTATTTGTTAAGATATTTATTGGAAATTTTAACCACAGATGCTTGCAGTAAAGGCAAACATATCGTAAATGACCTTTCAGGTGTTAAGTCGCCTACTTTTAGTTTTGCATCACATATTTTGCAGGTAGATATTTTGTTATTAATATCATAAACAAAATGTTTATGTGCATTGTTTGATGATATTCGTCCCATTTTCTACTTCGCAAATCGCATTAACAGCATTCACTATACAAGTATTCACACAATTGAGAATTGCACAACAAAACAAATCTATTTTTAATATGGTTGTGGCTAAATTATCGGCTACCTTTTTCCTTTCCCTTTCTGGCTACGGCTTAAAGTAATATTTTATCTTTTTTCAGAACGTGTTGGCCGGCGCATCCTTCAACTTCCAATAACCTGTTCAGAACCGTAAAAAAACCGAAAAGAACCGAAAAAAATAATAACGGTTCCGGTTCTCAATAAGATTCAATTTCTGAAGAAATAACGGGTTCGGTTCGGTTTTCGGTCCTGAAAAAAATACCGGTTTCGATCCGGTTTTCGGTTTTTTTTCGGTCCGGTCCGAATCCCTGTGTAAAAGTAGACATAGGAAATTCCTCCAGGATGGCGATGAAGAAGACGACGACATCGACACATTCACTTTTTCAGACAGAGAAAATTAGTCTTAGGTAGGTACTGTTAATATGTGTTATATGTAAATAAAGCACGATCCTTTTTCGAATTTAGTAATCCTCCTTTATGAAACTAAGATGAGGTTTCTTAGAGGGAAAAAACTACAGGGAATCATGAAATCGGTATAGGTCATATACTACATTGATATGTATATTCCACATATGAAAATATTCAACCTTGGATAGGCAATAACATAAAAACGATGCGTTTTTTCACAATTATGTATCCACTCAAAGTTAAAGCAAATTTAATAATACAAAATTTTTTGGCACCTATACCGTACCTTTTTCACGTTGTAAGCAAAACACTATAAAATGGCGGGATTTTCCAAGTCGCTTTCACTCCTCTCCCCCCTTTAGCACAGCCGGTAGTCAGGGGGGCTTTATTTTATGATTATTAGGGTAACGTTCCTTACACAATTCCGAAGGAACTGGTAATACATGAATTAGTTCCTTTATTTTTCCTATTCTGACTGGGCTATTGTTGAAGGTTACTTACCTACTTACCAAATAATTGTAATAAGAAATAATAAAACTTACTTGTCCGGTAATAGTAAAAAGGAAGACTAGGATTAACCTAAGTGGCCATTTTGCTTTGTATGCCTTGTGTGACCATAACCTATGAACACCTGCGGTGATTCCAAATCCGGAGGTGTAAATTGTAACAAATACTGCAAGAAAAATTTTTGGATTAGTTTGAGACGACCTATTGTTTCAAATATTGCGTACCTAGGTATATGTCGGTACATTGCGTAATAGAGCAAGGTCCCAGGGCCCGCAGACCTTAATTTTCTGATCGACAAAATTTGTACAATAAAGTAGTATACTATGCGATCAAAAATGAGTTGCTGTCGAGTCACCTTTGGAATTTTTGTTTACATGGGAAATCGTACTTAGTTTGAACTTCCAAAGGCGTTTTGCCCGTTATTAGTTTGTACAATGAACGCATATACAGTGTGTCCCACGTAGAACGCACCATAGGGAAACGGCAATGTATTTTTTCACGAAGGATACTACTATTATGCTGATTACAAGAACCAGCAAATTCTAAATGGGTTTGAAAAAGTTCATAACTTAATTAACGTTTTTTCGTAAGCAAACTGAATAACCCGCAAGCAAATAGTTTTTGGAAAAAACGCAAAAACACGTCGATTTTGGTTAGATCTTTTACTTCAAAATTTACACCTCTGCAGTCAATTCCCTAAGCAGCGTTACCAATATTCCCCTTCAATATTTTAAATTGAACGTTGGGAAGGGGTCTTAATTTCCTACAGGCCTATGGTTATCGGCTCTGATTTTCTTAGTTGAAGCTACTAAGTAAGTACAAAAAAGGGCTAATTTAACAAATTGCTAGTCTATTTAATGATATCTACAACGTGATTCAGCAAGATATAATGTTGGAGATGTATGTCTACCAATAAAATAGCGCTATTTATTGGTGGAAAGAACATTAGATAGGTACGTTTCCACGAAAATAGCGATCTGGGATTTATTCTTATAGGATCGTGTCTTTGTTATTTGGTTTATGTGGTCAAAGAACTAGTTAAATGCTACACCCAGGCAAGGTGTGTGGTTATAAAATATTAAGCTTGTTTGCTACTAGCAATTTTCTAGAAATCTATTCGACTATTCAGGACAGCATTATTTATTCACGCTTTCCATGAAAACACGAACGCATTATACTCATGAAAGGAAAACGTAAAGGGCTAACTAATCAATTACAGTACGTACACTGTATGTTTTTCTATCGCAATGTGATTCGGTAATGGACGTGCAATTAAGGAAATTGCAAGAGAACATATTGACTTTTCTATCGGGAATACAATTACATGAGTACCGAAATGGACTTGTGTAGGAGATCGGTTTCGTCTAAACCTTTTGAAAATTTGTTAAGTAACGCATTATGCAATTTTCGTGCTGTGCGTTTTGAAATTAAATTGTTATTGATTTACCACGAATTTTAATTGTTCTGTACAGTATGCGAGTAAAACAATCTATATTTCTTTTTTGTCTCGATTATTAGTAAATCTTATTCAACGACTAACGATCATAATATATAATAATAACTGTTATTCACGCAGATGAAGGTTATGATGCGAGCCCTACGCGAGTGTCATAAACTTAATCCAAGTTAATAACAATTTTGTGCGAGTGGAATATTTATCTACCACGGTCTTATCTGGTTTATTTTTTTATTTGTTATTCAGTTGTAAACGTTGATTAACAAGACAAAACGCAAACGGGTAAACGTCATGTTTAAACGCTACTGACTTGTAAAACTGACAGCTGACCTGTAAAACTGACAGCTGACCTGTAAAAATTTTACAAGTTAGTAATCTAGTCATTTCATTGGCCAGAATTAATGCGAAGTCTCTGTTTCATGGATAACATGATATTTTAGACATTTCTTTGAGATCAATTTAAGAACTAATTATTTACGTTTACTATTGTTTACAAATGAGTAACAAATAAAATATTGTACATTATACGCCAGGTAATAGTTTTTACTGGCTCTAGGAGATGAACTTCTCCTATCGCCAGTAAAAACTTACTTACCTGGCTAATAATGTAAAATACTATAAATATGTCGCCGTGCGTGTAACAATTGTTTGACGTTTGAATTAGACATTCACTAGATAATGCCTGGCGATTTTGGACAAGTAGGGATATAGTAGGTATGCCGTATGACGTATCGGAACGTATTATCATCCATCAGTAGCAATTTTTACCCTACAAAAGGTGGTGTAGTAGTAATTTTTAGCGCATTTCCACAATATAAAAAAAAATGCGCTATTGTGGCCACTTTGTCCCTCCGCTCGTTTCTAGACGCTACTAGTTCTTTATCTTAAGAGGTATTGTGGCCACTTTTTTCGCTATTTGGTTCGTTATGGTGTCGAGGCTTGCACCAAGGAAGGAATTTTTTCTGTGCCGCTTACAAAAAAAGTTATTGTAAAAAAAACAAAAAACGGTTTTTTACATGTTCCATAATTTTACACTTTTGCCGTTTATTAACGATCCTAGAGATCGTTTATAATTTTGCATTGCTATCTCTCGCCTGCCGGTTGATCTCTCCGTCTGTTCCTTTGTCTGTCCATCTATCTGTCCGTGTGAACGATAACTTTGTTTAGAAATGTTCGATCGCTTTTACATCTCCGTTAGTTATGAACTGAATTGCATGAAATTCAATATGGGCATAACTTTAGCCCTATAATACGCAATGCCAAAAGTTGAGTCGAATATTTATACAAGTATTTGAATGAAATTTGATACATAGGCACTTCGAATAAAGGAAAATCAAACGCCAGTTTCAAAATTTGGTTTTGCGCATGCGCAGTGCCAACTTTTTTATTTATGGAAGAATTTAAACGAAATTTGATGCATAGGCGCTTGGAACAAAGGAAAATCTAACGTTAGTTTCAAAATTTAGATTTTCTTATTTAGAAAAGCATTGAAATGAAATTCTTCTTATAAACTGAAATTGAATTAGCACGTCAAAAATGGATTACACATTTGCAACGCAATCTTTCACATTTGTGGCCGGATTTTTACGATTATAACAGAAGTTGCATCTTACATGTGGGAAATGAATGCAAGTGGAAATGCACTTTTTGTAAATCGTTTACGATTACTTTTTAACTTGTTGTTGTTGAGGTCTTGAAAAAAACGTCGTTTTCGACTTTGGTTGGGGGAGCACCTTTCACGCCGCCATCTTGGATACAAAGTATAACAAATCGGATTTTTCAAAATAACTCCGCAGAGGTTGGTCTTACGAAAAAAGGTTCAAATAAAAAGTATAAAGAAGACATAATTCCCGACATTTCTTGTACTGCTAATATGTTCCGCGTTATAGCGGCGGAAATATGAACATTTTTCCTCAACAAATTGTAAAACTCATCATTTACTCATCATTACCTAATTATAACAATTTTGTAAATTCCACAACGTCGTGAAATGACCCTTGAACCACGCGATTATATTATCAGCGTTTTCCTTTCCTTGATCGTCCTGGCCAGTTTATGTTGCCGTCATGATTGTCATCATTTTGAGTGCTTCTGACAATACAAGCAGCTTAACGCGTTGGTCAACTACGAAAACAGCATCAAATATTGAGTAACAGTACACCGCGGACCTGACAATCAGCACATCTTCTTCTGTTTACTCAACAGTTACAGCAGCCTGTTCCATTTCTTTTGTCAGTAACGAAATTAGAGGGGCTTTAATTGCGGTGCGGGAAAATCATTAAAAATAAGTGCTCTCACGAAATTTACCATCCAAAATTGTGGGTTTTACAAACATGTTCATATTTCTGCCGCTGCAAATCGGAACATATTGAGGTACAAAAGAAAGTTTTACAAAAAATGTGAGAAATTTTTCCTTCTTTAACTTTTATTTGAACTCTTTTTTCGTAAGATCAACTGCTGCGGAGTTATTTGGAAAAACACTATTTTCTGTACCTTTTCATCCGCCAAGGTCGAAAACATGTTTTTTTCCAATGCCCAGATCTCAACAACATATTGAAAAATTACTACTACACCACCCTTTGCAGTGCAAAGGCCTTATTTGACCCCAACTGACTGGACTCGCCATACCTAGTGAATATGGGTATTTTATTATTATTATTAGTTTATTATGTAACCTGATATAATTCATCATTAGTCAACATTCGTGGATATAATAAATTGTAAAGATTAATAGACGTGTAGCTCCTGAATTCATAGATGTACCTAATGGTATAACTTACCAAATAAACTAGTAAGTAGCTTTGCTGAACTAAACATAAGAACCACTCCATAAATGCAGCCACCGTGAATAAACAACTGAGCTATCAAGTCTGGCCATTTAATATTCGGTACAAATTCTTCGTTCGGTACTTTGGAATTAAATTGGTCTTGCTTTGGAATGGCACGAAGGAACCCATTAGAACTTGTAGTTTTAATTGAATGCACTCCTTCTTTCAAATCATCAGTGTCATCTGTCATTCTGAAACCAAGAGAAAAATGTAAATGGCTTTCATGAGTGAGGCACTACGGGTACGGAAAGATTATAAAGATTATACATTACCTATATTACATTCTTTATTAGGTCTAAATACTACTAAAAATTCCGTCGTGGTACCTATATAACGAAATACGTGTGTTTATATAAAATATTAATATTATACTCGTATAAACTTAAAACATTGACTTTACCTTATTAAAACTCGACCATACTATATAAGGACATTTTTTTATTTCCACACTTTAGGTATTTTTAATTGAACTAAACTATCACATTTTCTTTTATTAAAAAGTTCGATTCCTTGTACTTGTGGAGATTGTTAGTTAGATTCAAATGTTGGAGTAGATTCTAGATATTCAGTGATCTCAATAATTTGTGTCCTTTTCCACTATCAGTTTATGTTTGTTGAAAAACGTATACTAATAGTTCTAACATATGGATTCCGCACAGTTTTTATTTTAAGATTCTTAAAATGCGTGCGACAAGATTCGAGAGGGCGGGAGTACACCACCGCTCTAATCATTCTTTTTTGAGCTATTAATACTTTCGGTATAAGAACTCGTACACGGAGAAAAATGTATGTTAAAGGTAATTAAAAATATAATAATAGCTATCAAAATAGTATATTAAGATACAAGTGTATAATCAAGTCTTTAAAGCACGCGCAACGAGTTTAAGGGCACGACGCAAAGCGGAGTGCCTTTAACGTTGCAAGTGCTTTAAAGACCAATTATACACGTGTATCTTATAGTATTTTTTTTTCACTACTAGCGTCTGATGACATCATTATTAACCTTTTTTCCACTTGTAAAGTAGGCTTTCTCGGCATTTGTTCAAAGTGGTTAATAATGTGGACATTATTAACTAGTAGTCAATAATGAGAACTGTCACGCTGTCACTTTTAGAAAAAACAACCCGAAATTTCGCTCAATAAACGTTTGGACAAGTTCTCTAAAATGAATAATTGCCACCATCCGCCATTTTCAGAGAAATTACATACCTAAAATTATCACATTTTGGAAAAATTCGAACGAAATTACTCTTTGAAAATATCTCAATGACAGAACAAAATACGGCCTGTTTGACTTGTACTTCTACGTACTTGATTGACATGTTAAATTAATAAACAAAAAATTCTGTCCAACCGTTCATTTTCTTATCAATATAATATGTTAATTTAGAGGATTTCAAGTGCTAGTAGTGAAAAAAATAGTATATATACCACGGTAGAGAAGTCTATTATTGCCTTCGCACCTTGCACCCCTCGGCGCAAGCGCCTCGAGATGTAATCTTGGTGCTCAGGCAATAATACTGTACTTCTCTACCTTGATATATAATGTATTATTATTATACCTGCAGTATAATTTAAAAATATGAAATACAATGAAGTCATATTGACGTTATACTCGAATACATGTCTAATTAAGTGGGCTGGGTGTTCGTAATTTCACGTTTGCCATGGAAATGTCACTTGACGTTTGTTTATAAAAATCATCGTCTTTGTGAATTAAACGATTTCCGTTGAAAAAGATAATACACCGTCCATTAAATCGATTGTTGTAAAATCTAAACAAACGTTGGTAGGTGTATAAAATCCAAATCCAGTAAAGCCTATTATAAAGAATAAGTTGTTTCCATGGATGAATAGGAAGTTACTTACGAATACAGTCTTAAATGCATCCATAATGCTGACATATGTGAAGGAAATGTCAAAGGTATTTAAATCTTCTATATTTTGGTGCATTCATTCAAAACTTTAAAACAATGCTGCGATTAAAAAGTGGAACAGATTTGGAAGCATACCCTAAATGACGCGCGTTTGTGAAAGCTTCAACCAAAGGATAGGTACAAAAGCCAAAGAAATGTTCTGCATTTACAGAAAGCGACCTAAGAGGATTTTTTATTTCATTCAGATGACAGTTTCAAAAGTCATACTTGAAGTATCGTTACTTAGCAACTTTAAAGCACGTGTGTTTTAAAGGCCCTTTTTCGCACGCATTTGAGTGTTTAAAACGGAGATTGTGATTCAGGTATAATAAAAAATATAATACGTATAGGGATAGCTATGAAGAATTATAAAATTTATCATATACATATTGTTGCAAGTGTATAGCTAGTTTGACTAATTGTTTTAACCAATACAAAAAAACTGTATGTAACGGCAACCGTCTCATATGCATGCTTTTGTAATACGGGAGTAGTTGAATTAACATCTCCGCTTTGTATTAATAAGTAACTTAGATTATTGCAACTAATTAATATACACACCCTGCACCAAAATTTCGGGAATTCTTATTAATTTTGGTGCGTAGAATCCAAAACAATTCGTACTTTTTCGATCAGACTTCTCAATCAAAAGTTATAGACCAGAAACCAATTTCGAAAGAAAATTCAAAGGGCTGTAACTTTTGAACTAGTAGCCCAATCTTGGAACTGTTTAAAATTATGGATTCTACAGGCCACATTCTATAAGAAAATTTTTTTTCCGGGTCGATCTGAGACAATTTTTTTTCCGGGCTCAAAAAAAGGCAGTGTAAAACCTTCCTTTTTAACCAAAAATCAGGATACACACATATTGGTTTCGAATATATACCTACAATTATAAATTCAAAAATCATGATATATTTGCAACAATAAGGTATAATAATCAATATAATACAGTTTTGTTGCACTTATACTGCCATATTGTATTGGCCCAACCCTCAAAATCTCTGGAACATCACTCATGATTATAAGTGGTATAGAATTCAAGGTTTGTTTGATTTAATAATAGCTTCTCGTACTGTTTACAATATAATTTTTACTATATGATTTTAACAATCCATTTTTCTCCGTGTACGGCGGTGGATGGGTCTATAATCTAGTAGGGATTGCAGTTTAAAAAAAGTAAAATTGTGTCGATATCAATTACTTGAACACACGTACTGTGTGTCATACAATATTAAGTTTTGAAATTATAATGTTGAAGCGGTCTTTCCAATCGAGACTATCGTTAAATACATAATACCCCAGTACTTTCGCAGAAAGCATTTCGTCTATGACTTAGGTCGATGTGTCCTCTGTCCGTTGTTAAATCTTAAGAGACCCGATTTTTTCGCCTCGAAATCGTTTATAATTTTGTATTGCTGCCTGCCTGTCTGTCTGTCTGTCTGTCCACCTGACAGTATTGTCCGTTTGTCTCTCGGTCTGTGTCTGTCTGTATGTCTGTCTGTTTGTCCGTTTGTCTGTCTGTATGTATATTTAAATGAAATTTTGTGTGTAAGTAGGCCATAGACATCGAGGCGCCATGAACGATTAGTCATCAAACGAAGGCGGATGTGACGCAATCTTTCCTAGAAATATAACGTTTGTTCGAGAATGTTCTAGAATGCTCGACAGCGTTCGGATGAGTAGTTTGAGATCTTTCATAACGTCATTCTGATTCCCCCTTGATACCCCCGAAACAGTTTTGCGCGATTTTCAATATCTTCTTTAGTTTGGAAAATATGGCCGACTGCAAGTTTTAAAATTGACATCCCGTATAACCAAACAATAAATGTCCTTTTAGACGATAAAGAACGCATCTGGAACTTCACAAACTTTATGCTGATGATATAGAGGATGCATAATTAAGTCGGGTGAATTTCAGTGATCCGGTTCAGTGATCTTATAGTGCTCTTTTCGCCAGGATACGCCATAACTTTCCTGAATAAGGCAGCACAACCTTAATGAACCAGCTTGAATATCCTTCCTCTTAGCGTATTTGTGATGGTATCAGCCAAATGCATGCATCGTTTTTAGCGCTTGCCTGGATTTGGAAAAGTAAGTATTTTGAACAATCTCTCCGTACCTATGCCCGTTCCTTGAACTAGTTCTTTACAGGAGAGAGTCATTGATTGATCTAAAATTTTTGTAGGAAATACGTTATCGCAAAGACTCCTAGACGATAAAATATCTTCGCCCATCTATTCCTCCGGGTGGGGTGTCCGTGTCTTAGGCTACTTTTTACGGGAAAGTGCTATTATATTGATCTGTAATTTTGTGAATATTACAAAAGAAATGAGTATTGTAAAACAAAATATCTCTGCCCGTTTTCCGTTGCTTCAGCCGATGCTTCTGCTACTTTAGACTGGCGAATGCTCCGGAACTATATGGGTAACATGTGCCAATAAAGGGTTAGGAAAATTGCGTGAAATAAGTTTAAGGTTACAGCATTGAATAATGCCTCAGAGTAAGAAATAAAGGTAGAGATGCCTTGCTTGCTTATCAAAACGTCCATCATCTCGTCGTGTTTATAAACATTGCAGGAAGCGAACTAGTCACATTTCGCGAGATGATGTTTAAGAGAAAATTAATAACACATATATTTGAAAGGATCTAAATGGATTTTTTTAGTGTGCCACGACGGTAACGGTGTAGCGATTTGACAGATGAGGGCTATTGTGCCATGGATGAGACGATTTCTGTTTATTTCCACAAAACGTAATCTCTGCATTTTTAGCTCATTTTATAGATTAAAATTTATTCCATTGCGTTTATTAATTTATCAGCACCCTTTGACATAGGGAAAGAGTGTACTGTTTGTGGAATTAGTACAGTTACTAATCTTTGCCTTTCGTTCTCTCAGCTGTGAAACTGTGGGTTATGTTGGATCAAAACAAACGTTCGTGTTAGAATAGCGTGTTCATCCTCTATCTTTATTTCTTATAATGGGCGATCAAATATAAGTTGCTGTCGAGTCGCCTTTGGAAGTTCAAGTTAGGTACGATTTCCCATTGAAACAAAAATTCCAAAGGTGACTCGACAGCAACTCATTTTTGATCGGATAGTACTCTAAGAATAGTGCTAATTCAATGGTTAGAGGTTACCTACCTATTTTAAATGTCATACAAGGATTCCCACTTAAAACTCAGGGTTGTTTTTTAATTGGAAATTTTACATTTCTTACATGCGGATCCATCAAGACAATACTTGATCTTTAAACATTAAGGAATCATTACTAGGTACGTGTCCAGATAGATATATTTAGAAGCAAAGTTCAATATTGTGTTGCAGTTATAGATTAATAAAATGCTTTAACTAATTAATTGCTTAATTGAGTTTCTATAGCCAATGATAGGTACCAGGTGGTTTAAAATTACAAGAAAATTATAAGGTGTAGTACAGTAGGTATAATGATAGAGCAGACAGAAAATAGTTTTTTCTACGACCTCCCTGAAAATGAGATCATAACGTATTATTTAGAGGCATGATATAGTAGTACCCATTACCTACACCCGTGCGTAATGAAATAATTTGCTATGGCTAGCACAGATACCACACGCACACCTGCGCATACGCGTTCTGTCCAAATGATTTTCAGCCCTTTCTTTTATGTCTAAGAATTTGGTTCCAATCGGTTCAGCCGTTTCTCCGGAAATGAGAGTACAGACGGACCGACATCATCTAGAATTTTTGACTCGGATTCCTGGTGCTTACGTGCGGGTGGTAAAAATTTACTGTGGCTCGTACAGCTTCGCGGGATAGTGTGCAATTTTTCTACTCACATGTAATACGCACTATTACAACCGCATGACAATACAATAATACAGGGTCCGGCAAAATGATCTCCCACATTTTAATCTGTAATAAAAACGCCATTGTAAATGTTATATAGATTTTGTCTTTATTAACTGAAAATGTATGCTATGCCATTTGTTTTTATTAAGTTTTGAAAATTACAGAGTCCAAATGGCGACCATTTTTTTCGATACACATTCGAAGCTGATTTCTGAAAGTTTCCATCACTCAATTTCAATTTCAGGTGTCCGGACACTTCTGGGTCTACCAGTTGATTTTCTTTTTAAGGCTGAACCTGTAACTCTAAAATTTTAAACCCACAACAGTATTGTTTTGCGATCTGGAACTGGACCATGTCTACCAAGCGCGAAGTGAGTACGAAATGTTCTTTGCGTCGTAATCACAGATTCGTTACTTTTCATAAACGTTTCAATAACAAAGGCACGATGCTCACCCGTCCAATTCATGACTGACAACTGAAATGGCAAGGCCAGAGCTACCAACCGACTACACTAAGCTCCCCCTCTCTTCAGTGATTCTGGCACTGTGGCGGTGCAAAATGTGGGAGATCATTTTGCCGGACCCTGTACAATAATAAATACAATACGCATCCATAGCGAGTGTGATATATGTATTACATTCCCCTTTTCCCAACATTTAAAACTTTGGTTTGACAAACCCAAACACTTATACGTCGTTTATATTCTATATAGTATAACAACGGTATCAGGGGGTCGATTTTAGAAACCAGTCGCATCTAAACGCTTAAATGCGAAGACTTAAAAAAGGTATACGTTTTCCAAATGCAATTTTTGACTACTGTTCGTAACTGCCTGGAACCGAAACGTACAGTGCATATGACAACGTCGCCTTTGTTGCTCGATTAGAACTAAAGCGGACTATTTGACGTTTGGGTTTGAGCTTAGGTGGTGAAGTGAAGATATTGCTCAGTCATTTCAAATTAAAGAATAATAATATTTTAGGCGCTGATTAGCATAAATACCCAAAACACGATGGACACGCCAAAGCGAGGGTGCAATACCACGCAAAAGTACCTCTCAAGTCTCAAGAGTCAAAACTTCAACACTAACCGATACATAACTCACAAAACGTCAGTTGCGAGCGTTTGCGAACGCCATTTACCCGCTCGCAGAAAAACGAACACAATTGAACGTATACGCAATATGAACGTATGGTCAAAAATTGCAAATAAACGTTTTTTTACGAATACGTATACGTTTTAAGGAAACGAACGGCCAAAAATCGACCCCCTGGTAGCCACCCACTGCAAAACTTATGTCTTTTTCTTCGTATAGGCTAGATATAGATGAAAATGTTATAGCATAATTTGTGCACACCACGTGCTATGATTGACGTTACTGACTTACTGTTTTTATACTAGAAGAGCAATAGTAGGAGTATAATAGGATTATCGCTTTCTCATCCCAAATCAAACCAGTACCTACTTCTGTAATAAGAAGCTGAGTAAAAATCTCTAAAAATCGACCGATCACCAGTTGATGTCGGAAATTCATGGTGTCGTAAAATGTTGTCGCGGCTAATGGGGAATCCTCACAGTAGGTTAGCGTTAGAGGACGCATACCTTTGCTACCTTTAGGGCTTTAGGATACAATTTTCAGAGAACATTAATTTGTTGGTAAATTCAATTAGTGTTAAAATGAGGATTTCTATTACTTTAGAAATACCAAACAATTAATAGTCGCATTTTCTTTTTGTAACGTTAAATAGAAAAGGAATGTAAACAGTATGCTTTTGTAAATAATAGATACTGATTTTAATATAGTCACCTTGAACTCGGGAAAGTTTTGTAAAATAGGCAATAACACTTGTAATTATTCTGAACACATTATGGAGAGAGATAGAGAGAGAGAAAGAGAGATATTATCTTAGTACTGTTAATATTGGTAATTATTTATTTAATAATTGCTCCCGTTATCGCAAGTCTGTATTAAATGCTACGCGTTTATTTCCACTTATGCATATTATTGAATTCCATTTACATTTCAAATATGAGACAGTACCTATATCATATTATAATAATACGTGCTTAAAATGAGTTGGTTCACCTTGCTATAGAAACTTGTTTCTCCACACGATTAGTTAGTAAAAAGAATTCACAGCTATTAAACTCAATCTTAACTTCGTAAATTAACATCACGTATACCTGTATACCCGTGATAAATTACCGCAAATTTCAACTTTCGTGACCAGAAGTTGAAAACTCAAGCATATATGAATAATATAAGTGAAAGTGAAACCATCTTCTGCGTTAACGCACAAGAAGCAAGCGTAATAGTAAGAAATGCGTGCAAATATTATGGTTCTGGAAAGGAAATGGTTCATATCCTACAAAATCTCAACATGACTGTACCAAAAGGAGCAATGTAAGTGATTCCTATTCCTCTAACGTCTAACCATCTTTACATCTTCACTTACAATTTTAGATATGGATTATTAGGTTCCAGCGGCTGTGGAAAAACTACTTTAATAAAATGTATTGTTGGAATGAAAAAGTTAAATTCGGGAAAAATGTGGGTAATGGGAGGATCGCCGGGTACAAAAGACAGTCAAGTTCCAGGTACAAAAATTGGATACATGCCACAGGTAAAGCCACAGGTAAAACCACAGGTTGTTGATTTGCAACTCTTATGAAAAAGATCTGCCTACTACGGGGAATATTCCGGTTCCAAAACCATGTTCGGGGGAAAATCTTTGGGGGCAAATCTTGCGGAGGTGAATATTCCAGAGGTCTGCCTTTCCTGAACGTGAATTTCCATTGATGCTAGTTACTGGCGAGGATATATTTCGGTGGGGTCGAATATTTTAGTGGTGAACTTTCCGGATCCGAATCTTCCGGGAGCGTATATTCCGGGGCAAATTTATCGCACACTGATAAAATTTGTGCAAGAGTATTACGCCCCCATCTATATTTATTAAGTAGAGGGCATCATGCCATTCTAATGGAAAAGGTCAACTGATTGCTTTATCTGTGTAGTTCTAATGTAATTGTGCCATAAAGAATGATATACATATAGTGGCGTAGCGTAGCACATTGGCGCTCGGGGCGCGATCAGGGTTTGCCGCCCTATATACATATTTTAGGAGCTGGTGAACATTTTTAGTTCCCTATCGTTTATTAATTTTTCAATTTTTTTTTGTAATACAATAAAAAGGCCCAACACTGCTTCCGAAGTCGAACCTAGAAACGCAAGAATCAAAGAAGATAATGATATTTGAATTGCTTGATAGGCATTGCATTTAAAAGATTGGAGTATTGGGAACAGAAGTTTCTTCGTCATGTATTTTCGCCTCAGTTTTTGTTAGATAAAGCATCTTCAAGTCCGTCGATGGTCATCGTCGTTACTTACAAAACAAAAATTTAAATGTATTTTCACATGATTTTTTTGTATCGTCTCCTACTTTAGTTATTATTAATAAAAGCGCCCCGGTATATTATTGGCAGGTATGACGCTGCCGCTGCCGTATAGTGGTATAGTGTCATTTTGCTGACGGTTTTGTATTACCCGAAATCGTCTTTTTTAATATAACATTTCAATTTTCATATAGAACTTTTTATTATTAATATTAATAGTGTGTCAGTTTTGACAAGAGTCTGGTAATGTGATAGGAGGCAGGGAAAGTGTTACTGCTACTGTCACGGAATAGTAGATTGCATGCCGAGCTGGGAAGTGGTTCATTACCTTCGTTTCCAATTGTTATGGTTTTTACATTTCTCATAAAGAAAGGAGCTACACATACCAAAGATCTCTGGATCTCGACGTTTGGTACTTTGTGTAAAATTACCAGGTTTCATCATAAAATGTTCTTTCCACTAAAAATGTCTACCCCTTGCTTCAACTACTGGCGTTATTGATTTTTGAAATAGAACATCTGCTGTTCGCAAATCGCAACTGTTTGGCAACACCTTCTAGGCATTAAGGCCTAGCGTGTCTATTTTTGCACTGTGCTAACTTATGCACTACTTATGGTATTCATATAACTCCAATACCTGATTTCTAATCCGGGGCATGATATTTTCATAACGCAAACGCGTACGAACACAACGTGAAATATTATTTAATGACATGTTTTCTGTCTACCTCTTGTAGAACAGAATGTCACGGAGACATTTCCTTGTATTGTTTCTGATTTAAGAAATCACCATCTAGTATCAGAAATGATACCAGACAACGATATCAGAAAATCAGAAAATGTATAGCGACAAGGGTAAAAACATGGTAATGCGGTTTTGATGAAAGGGAAACAACCTCATTATATTTTTGTAATATGCAAAAAATGGTAAATACCTTTCATGTATTTGTTTGTTTGGAAATTAACTCATATATTCTACGAAAAAAGATGCACAATAGTCTGGGATTTTAACGTGTGAGGTGCTGCATCCTTAATTTGTTGAATTATGCAGTGTGAGATACGGTACAATAATATACCATGACCAGTGTCATTCTTTTATGGGTACAGGTACACATATTTACCTATATCGATAATAATAATAATAAATGTATACACAAGGTATCCCAATGTGAATTTGTAGAACTACCTCAAAGAATTGTAGCCGCATGCCGGCGAATAACTTCCGAGGTATTGAGAACCTTAAGATATGGGTTTAAATAAAGGTTTTATTATTTTATAGAACTATAGAAGATAATGGAGGTCATTTCGACGAATACATTTTCTGGGGGATTTTATTAGTTTTTAAACTTTGAAACTTTAAAGTGCCATTTTTACACAAGTGGTCGATCGATTAAAAAATAAAAATAAACGCAAAGAAAACACCTGCCAAAGTATTGGTCATTTGAAGCATCGTCCCATTTAAAAATTTGTGGGGAGTTGCAATCTCTAGCACACACGATTAAAATTTCAAGAATTATTTTTGCACAATAATTGGCCCCATCGGAATAAAAATCGACTGGTTTTTGAATTTTTTCGAAAAAAAGGTTAATATTGTGATCTGTGATGTGATTCTCCTTCCGATTCTACTTCGGCTTTTGCATTTATCTCGTTCCATTGCAATAAACTTGTGTTCCATTAAAGAACCATTCTTTCTCCGGTCATATAATTTAATTTACGTCTTACATCTGCCTGAAGTTATTACTACTAGGTACTGAAGAACTGCTAATTATCAATACCGATTACGTTTACTTAACCCGAGGGGTTATTCACTTGCGCAATACGTGTACACTGTGTGTTGTGCAGTCAGCTCAATCTGTGCAATCAGAGAAATCATTCTGTAATCTATGAAATCCTTGAATATTCGTGCAGTCATTTACTATGAAGTCGTGGATAAAACGACGGTCCCTTCGTATTTGACGTTACCATTGATTATTATTTATACACATAATCAATGACGTTACGTACAAAGAGGTAACCAAGTCAGCATTTCCGTGTGTTAGTGCGAGTGAGGACGAGAAGCGAGTTGCGCGTGCATCCTGGCACGCATCGGCCAATGCGCCACCAATAATGTGATTGCACCACTACACCGAATTCTACCAGAATCAAAATAGATCCAAAAAATAAAAATAAAATTCTAAAATTGTTACTTTTAAATTGAGAATATTCTTTCCATATGGCAATATGTACACATAATACTTTTAAGAAGAATTTTTCCAACGAAAAAAATTCCCCTTATGTGATGGTTTGATCGTCTGTCCGTCTGTTTCTCGTCTAACTCAACAACGAATAGAGACGGCGATGTCAAACCTTCTCCCATCGATGTCTACGAGTTCAAGGATCAGTGCTATTGAATATAAGCCGGCTTAAAAGTCTGGTTGCGAACTGAGTAGCAATGAATTTCCCTACGTAAAATCGTATTCCATTCTTCGTATCGTGTTGCCTATGAGATGAACTATTTTTTCATGAATCCCGAAAAATATTATGTTGATTTCTTTAATATTCAAGGAAATTGCACACACAATTCCTGAATATTCCTGAAAATTTATACATTAGGTCGCCAATAAGCGCTTTTGTCATTTTTACATATTTATATTTGTGCAAGGAAAGACTGAACGTTGGATATTTCATACACGGACATAATTAAGTAGCTCAGTTGTTCGTAATCAATGTGCAATCCACGCAATTGCTATGCATTCAATGTAAATCGCCAGCTCTAAGCGTGCAGTCATCCTCAGTTAGCGCAACCATCGGAAATCGCGCAGTCAATTAGAAGAGCAATTAGATTTATTAGTTAGCTTTATGGTTTAGTGATAGAGCGTTGGACTATAAATCCGGAGGTCGGGTGTTCGAACCTGGGTTGAGGTGAATTTTTCATCTGTGGCGTGGCAGAGATGGGAATTACCTTAGACCAGTTTCGAGGATTCTGCCGACTACTCCAAATTAGGTTTTCCTGCAGTTTTCCTAATCCGTAAGGTAAATACCGGAGTAGTATTGAAGAACTTCAGACCTTCTGCAGGGGTACCTCCAAAAAAGCATTATGCGGGTCACTCTGTAATTTGGCGCAAGCCTGTTGAGGGCTCAGAACAAGAGAGGGATCAAAATTAAATAAATGAATGAATGAATGAATAAATAAATAAATAAATAAATAATCAATCAATGAATCATTCAAGCGCAGTCGTTACGATTTGCACAATACATGGTACATATTTACAGAAGTGAGAATTACTCGGTTAAAGACGTGCATTGGACTTTGGATATAAAAAGTTAACAAACGCTGAATGACAATTTCTACATAGGTAATTATTAGCATAGAACAAGTTATTAGCAAGTTAAATGGGTAATTAGTTCTCAATACCAAATTACCAAATGTAAATCTCGTGTCCATCACACCATCATTATATACATACGAGTACAATGTACAACTTTTAATTGATTTTCGCCTGTGATGATATTTATGTTCATAATACATTTTGCCAAGTATCTACTATTGTAAGCACACGCGCACCATTCCTTTGCTGTACTATTGGTGTACAAAAATACATAAAAGTGCATTGACATGTAGTCGGAGGTGCATAGTTTTACGTATACAAAGATGAACCCACATTTTTGTAATTAAATCGTTAAGATCCGAATTCGCAAAACATCATTGATAAGGCGCACTCTTTTTTCAAGTAAATCTTCATTAAAACGATGCATTGGACATTACGTACTGTAACCTATATATAATTTACAGACAGTTGGAGTGCAGCTGGAATTTACAACGGCTGAAACAATGCGATATTTTGGAGCAATTGCAGGACTAAGCTTTAAGAAAATTAACGAAAAGATTTGTTTCCTCAAGCAGTTGCTAATGTTACCAGATGTAGATACACCCCTAGAAAACTTAAGTGGGGGCGAACGAAGAAGAATATCTTTCGCGGTAGCTTTAATGCACGATCCCGAGCTACTTATTCTCGACGAGCCCACCGTGGGGTTAGATCCACTCTTGAGAGAAAGTATTTGGAATTATCTTTTGGAACTTTCGTGCAAATCTAACACAACAGTTATACTGACAACTCACTACATTGATGAAGCTCGTCAAGCTAATACAGTAAGTGAAATACTAATAAATGAAATATGTTATATTGAATTTAAGGTTGCACTACTTCGCGAGGGAGTTCTTCTTTCGGAAGAAGCACCAGATGCATTGTTATCGAGGTTATCGGTTGCAACTTTGGAAGAGGCCTTTCTAACGTTAAGTGTGGCTCAATGCAAATGTAGCGGCTATGATGTCAAAAGCAGTGTTGAGGGACCGATTAATATTCAGCAAACCGTATTGAAGAAGGCCAAAATAAAACATAGTCATTTATCACCACTTCTGCGCAAGAATGCTCATTGGTTGCTAAAAAATCCAGGATTACTACTTTTTAGCATAATTATTCCCATTTTGCAAGTGATTCTATTTCAATTTGCAATAGGCCATGACCCTGTCAGTCTAACCTTTGCAGTAGCGAACTATGAGACTAATCTCACAAACTGCAGCGTACCGACATGCGAGAGTGATCAGCTCAGTTGCAACTTTCTTCATTATCTTCAAACTCCAGCGGTTACTTTGGTAACTCACAAGAACATCTTTATACGTTGGTGAAAACTTTAAGCCTTTTAGTTGTATTACGATAACATGGATGATGCTCTTGAAGCAGTGTTTAGGGGTAACGCTGATGCGTCGATCGTGTTCAGCCCTTATTACACGTCGACTTTGAAGAAACGTCTCAAATTATCGCGTACTTTAGATGACTGGGATGCATCCAATTCAACTATCGAAATTCTACGAGATTTATCAAGTCTGTAAGTAGGCAATGCAGAACAATTTGAATATTTTACCGATTTTAGCATATAATAAGCCAATGTTTGTACAAAAAGAAATTATGAACAATTTTAATAGATTTATCGGCGACTATTTCGAATCATGTGGATATAGACGAACACTCATATCGTTACCATTTAAGGTATCTTGCAGGGTCCTAAAACAAAGTTTAGAAAATATGTGTTTTTAGTGGAACGAGCACATTTACGGAAAGGAATTACCCGATTTTACACAGTTTGCAATACCAGCTCTCGTCTTGACTGCTATAGGTTTTTTTTCTGCTATTGCAATGGCCTCGTCAATATTAACGGAATTTCAATCTGGAGTAACTGAACGGTCATTGGTGATGGGAGTAGACCGTCTTTATCTGTTGATAGCTCACTTTATTACCGAATTTGTTTTGACAGTCGGCCACATAGTGGCTGTTATTATTTGTGTAGTTTTAGTTATGGATATGCCATTGCATGGATCAATACTCCTTATAATTCTGATGTGTCTGCTAATGTCGCTGTGGGGGTTATGCTTCGGTTAGTAAGACGGTATATTACGACTAAGTAAAGTTTGAATTTCAGGGCTCACAATGGCGACACTATGCCCTACTGATGCAGCAGCCACTTACATGATATTGGGTTCCTTTTTTCCGGCCGGTATCTTAGGTGGTTTAATTTGGCCAGTTGAAGCCATGCCTAAAGTTATACAATACATCGCCAAGGTGCTACCATTCGCTGGAATTTCCGATAGTGCGAGAAGTATTTTACACAGAGGCTGGGATTTAAGCAATCCACAATTATATACAACTGTGATATGTGTTATAACTTGGATTATCATATTTTTAATTTTCAGTACAATAGCAGTAAGACTAAAGAAATACTAAATAAATTCTTGAAAAGTATGTATTGACGCTACTAAGGCGAAACTTACCATCTGTGCAGTGGAAAGAAAAAAATTATAAATACAAATATTACAATTTTAGATCCGGTTCTCCGGATCTTCCATTTCCTTCATAACAACATTTTTTTGGGGACGTTTACCGTAAGTAATAGGTAGGCCGAGTACATGACTCGACTTCAGCCGAACGCGCTCTAACTACTTTAAATCGCTTATTGTAGAATTTAAACAAACGTTGGTAGGTCTAAAATCCAAATTCAGTAAAGTCTATTATAAAGAATATGAAAAGTTATTTCCATGGATGAATAGGAAGTTACTTACGAATAAAGTCTTAAATGCATCGATAATGCTGGCATATATGAAGGAAATGTCAAAGGTATTTAAAGCTTTTATCTTTTGGTGCATTCATTCAAAACTTCAAACAAGGCTGCGATTAAAAAGTGGAACAGATTTTGAAGCATACCCTAAATTACGCGCGTTTGTGCAAGCTTCAACCAAAGGATAGGCAAAAGCCAAAGAAGTGTTCTGCATTTACAGAAAGCGACCTAAGAGGATTTTTTATTTCACCCAGATGACAATTTCAAAAGTCTCGTCAAAAGTCATACTTGAAGTATCATTACCTAGCAACTTTAAAGCACTTAAAAGCCTTTTTTGTGCAATTGGACGCGAAACAACAACTTCGCGTTCGCCATGGCGGCCGCGAAATTCACTTTCGCGGCCGCTGTCATAGCGACGGCCGTTAAAGTAAGACAATGTCACATATATTTTGACAATCAGCATGTAGGCAATTACAAATCTTTTGGATAAATGTTAATATTAAGCCTACAGTTCGTATTGTTACTTATACTTACTCCTGAAATAAAGTCTAAAGTGTTAGAAGCGTTATACTTTGAAACTGTAACATTTTGATTTTCATTAGAACTCAAACTGACAGGTACACTTGAAGTCCTTGTAGCATTTTTCGTACTGCCGCTTCGATTTTTCAGGTACTAACTCATAACTGCAACACAGCAGAATTCACAACAAGTTTTATTTCCGGAGGAGTTCCGGATATCGAAGAATCACTTTCGAAGTCACACATTTTGACTTTTCTTTCACGAAAAATTATTCATTGTTTATCTCATTTCCATGGTAAAATGAAAACTGGCCGTCTTTCTATTTGCGAAGAAAATTATTATTTTTGAAATCTCATTTTTATTATTGACGATTCTACGCAATTGCACAAAAAATGTTGTGTATACCACGGCCGCGTCATTCTTTAACGCCCTCAAAGTTGCCTTGCCTCGGCCGCAAGCGGCCTCGGCGTCAATCTTCTTTTCGGTACGTTAAAGAATGACTTCGCGGCCTAAGTATACAAATAACTATTTTCGCACACATTTGAGTGTTTAAAAGGTGTAATAATAGTACATTATATATCAAGGTAGAGAAGTACAGTGTAGAATAATGAACGTAGATATTAAATAAAAGCGTATTAAGAGTTAAATATGTAATGTATGTAATGAAATACATACGTTAATCAAAATTATCTGTCAATCTACATAAACATTCTAATTCTAGTAGTCGCTTACGTCACATCTCCTCTTCCCGGGTTTCCCTTTTCATCACAATCACAAGTTTAGTCTTTGTGGTGCTTTGATAGCGCGTCTAGAGGAAATTGTTGATGTAGGGTTATCCGAAGAAGAAAGTGGTCTCAACATAGTTTTATTTCGACGATATAATCCTTCCTTTGTAGCTACGGTATAGGATCTCGGAGCTACGTTCTCTACAATTGTTCCCTCTTCTTGCCTATCAGGGATGAATACTGAGGAACCAATCTCAAGAGGAACTTCTTCTTTCGATCGATGACGTTGGTCGAAGTATTCTGCCTATTCACTACGATAGCACTTGTCCCACTCACGAAATTGTTTATAGTTCACGTTTTTTGGAATAAGTTCTTTGGTCAGGAGAGGAATCCGAGTGCGCAACTTCCTTCCCATCAGGAGTTCTGCTGGGCTGTATCCAGAAAGCCCGGGAGTGGCCCTATATTCTAGCAAGGCGAGAGTGGGATCCTTATTCTTGCAAAGAATCTTCTTGAGAGTTTGGACTGATCGCTCCGCTTCTCCATTCGACTGATGATATAAGGGGCTGCTCGTCACAATCTTGAAATCATAATTTTTTGCAAATGTTTTCCATTCTTCGCTTGTAAATTGGGATCCAGAGTCGGAGACTACGACTTCTGGAATCCCAAAGCGGGCAAAACAACTCTTCATTTTTTTTATTAGTTCTGTCACAGACATAGTTGTGACATTGATAATATCCAAATACCTCGAATAGTAGTCCACCACAGCCAGATAAGTACATTTTTGGAATTCGAAATAATCTACAGCTATTTTTTGCCATGGGTACAAAGGAGTAGGAGAAGGGATCATCTTCTCGGTATATTGGCGTCTATGCTTGGCGCAAATGTTACAATTTTCTACCACATTACTTAATTCTTCAGTGATACCTGGCCAAAAAACAGATTGTTTAGCCCTCAGGAGTGTACGGTTTATCCCGAAATGACCGTCATGCAGTTTTTCCTTTATTTCTTCACGTAGCTCTGCTGGTATAATCATTCTTTCATTGTAGCAGACTAGACCATCAATAATTGTGATACCATTACGGAATGCGAACCATCGCTTCATCAACTCCTGTACATCTTTTTGTGATCTGGCCAACCGTTCTCAACATACTCGACTAACAGTTGACATTCACGATTCTGACTTTGGGCGTTTTTAATTTCCTCGAGTCTGGATGGAGTTGTTGGGAATCCCGAAGAAACCACCTTGATATGAGCTTCGACTTTTGCAGTGAAATCATCCTCCGAATCAGAAAGAGGTGCTCGGCTCAAAGTATCTGCTGTAAACATTTCTTTTCCTGGAATGTGCTCAATGGTGTAATCGAATTTCATTAGCCTCATCTTAAATCGTTGAATTCGTATAGGTATGCTATCCAGGTCTTTACTGCCTAATAATGGAACAAGGGGTTTATGGTCAGTTAGAATTGTGAACTTCTTCCCCATTAGAAATTTAGAGAATTTTTCCGCTGCCCAAGCGATTGCAATAGCTTCTTTTTCTATTTGGGCATACCTTTTTTCAGCTGATTGAAGCGATCTAGATGCGCACATTACAATTCGTAGTTTATCATGTTCATTCTGTAGTAAAATTGCGCCCAGTCCGTAAGCTGATGCATCAGCCATAACAGTTGCTTTTGCTGTTACATCATACCGTGTCAAACAAATTGATTTCTTAACTAATTCAATTATTTCTGAAAGAATTTTCTGATGATCTTGGGTCCAACAAAACTTTCTATTTTTCTTCGTAAGTTCACGAAAAGCCTCCGTTTTCCCTGCAAGGTTTGGAACAAACTTGTTGAGTTGATTTAGCATGCCATTCAGACGACGAATTCCTGATATGTCTTTTGGAGTAGGTAAATCTTCTAAGGCTCGCACACGATCAGGATCAACCCTTATTCCTTGAGAATCAATTATATTACCCAGAAATTTCACTGATGTTTGTGAAAAAGAGCATTTTTCTTTGTTTAAAACTACATTAGCATCTTTCAGTCTATTCAAAACTTGAGTTAATCGATAATCATGTTCTTCTGGCGTCTTCCCATGAATAAGTAGGTCATCCATTAGACATAAGACTCCCTCTAGTCCCTCCAATAGTTTAGATATTTGAGCAGAAAAAAATTCTGGGGCTGATGTGATTCCAAAAGGTAGACGTTTAAAGAAAAATCTTCCAAATGGTGTAATAAATGTTGTTAATTTAGCAGTATCAGGTGACATTTTTATCTGCCAAAACCCAGATTGCGCATCCAATTTTGAAAATATTCTAGAGCTTCCAATCTGGCCTAAGGTTTCTTCAACATCTGGTAATATGATTTTTGGGCGTTTCACATTCTTATTCAAATCTGTATAGTCTACACATAGTCGTAAACTACCGTTTTGCCTTTTGTATAGCTTTCTCCAAAGTTAGGTCAGCATCCTCTTGTAGTTGTAAGGATAAAGTCTTATCTAAAATACCGACAACTATACGGTCACGAACAAGTTCATCTCTAAGATCCCGGAAAGCACAACGTTCGGCCATCAAGCTGATATCGGTGAGAAACTGTTCAAAGATCTCCCCTTTTTTCTGGTTTCGAGAATTAAATTTAGCACGCTCATAAATTACATTCCGCTTCCCTATAAAAGCTTCGTCAAATGCGGCCTTTACAGTTTTATAGGAGTTAAGTTTTTTTCAGGAAGTTGGGAGCGAGTCAATATATCTTCAGCATTCTCCCCCATACAATAAATTAAAGAAGTCACTTGTTTTTCTTCTGGTTCCTGATCAAGCCCCGACGCCATCCAGTATCTTTCGAATCTTTTAAACCATTTTTCCCATTTTTCTGGGCACTGGAAGTCAAATTGAGCCGGTGGTTGAAACGTGATGTGTCGACGGCCGACCGATGAATTATCTTGCAATTCACCAAATGATTCATCAATATTCTTCTTATTTTTCTTACGACTCATGCTGCCACCATGTAGAATAATGAACGTAGATATTAAATAAAAGCGTATTAAGAGTTAAATATGTAATGTATGTAATGAAATACATACGTTAATCAAAATTATCTGTCAATCTACATAAACATTCTAATTCTAGTAGTCGCTTACGTCACATACAGTATTATTGCTTGATCACCAAGATTACATCTCGAGGCGCTTGCGCCGAGGGGTGTAAGGTGCGAAGGCAATAATAGACTTCTCTACCGTGGTATATATACTATTTTTTTCACTACTAGCACTTGAAATCCTCTAAATTAACATATTATATTGATAATAGAGTTAACGGTTGGACAGAATTGTTTGTTTCTTAATTTAACATGTCAATCAAGTACGTGGAAGTACAAGTCAAACAGGCCGTATTTTGTTCTGTCATTGAGATATTTTCAAAGAGTAATTTCGTTCGAATTTTTTCAAAATGTGATAATTTTAGGTATGTAATTACTCTGGAAATGCCGGATGGTGGCAATTATTCATTTTTGAGAACTTGTCTAAACGTTTATTGAGCGAAATTT